AATTGCTTTCTTTACAATAGCTTTGTGATACCAGCATGAGAATTAGCCCTATTTGTACAGATGAGGAAATAGAGGTGTAGGTTAAATGACTTTGCTAAGCTCACCTCACTCTCAGAGAAATGTCAGCACTGGGACTCTGCATTTTCCTTTCATAGCTTTAACTTTCTTGTGAATTTCTAGCAGATTCTTTTTGGTGTTTTGTTCTAGTCTGAGGGCATTGGGCTTCCTTGAAATATTTCACTCTTTAGTGTTCCTAGAAGTCCTGGAGGAAGTCATCTGTAGTATTTGGAGAAGTAACTTGAGGCGGTCAGTGTGTCTGAGGCAGGTTTGCAGCCTCTGGAAGTTCTTACAAATGTTTCAGAAGCCAGTAAGGAAACTATTCTGAGAATAGCAAAGGGCATCAGGAGAGTCGTGGGGCCAAAGGTTGAGAGCTAACACAAAGTTTGTTTTTGTCTTTGTCTCAGATCTTGATCCTATTATATAGTTACTTTATCTTTTTGTGTTTCTCTCTGGTTTTCATAATGGAATACTACAGAATGCTTTTTAAAAATCCAGTGAAGTTTCCAGAGATGAACATTGTTATGATGGTACATAGAGGCAGTGGCCTTGCTACCCCCTTAGCTGGGACAAGTCCCTTCTCTCTGAGCCTCAATTTCCTTATCTGGAAAATGGAGCTAATGGACCCACTGCCTTTCAGGCAGATGATTGTGAAGAAAGTACTTGGTAAACCTGAACAAGCTACTTAAGAGCAGTTGATATAAAAGAGGAAAGGAAGGCCCAGAGTCTTTCTGAATTGGATTCCTCCTCCTGAACAGAATGTGCCCTGGTAAAAGAATTCCAGTGTCAAATGGAGCCAGAAGAATTTGTTGTCTCCTCTTTCTGTCACATGATCCTCTTTTTTCTTGGTGTTGCCTTGGACCAGACGAGCTCTCGTCCCTGATCTCCTGGGACCTCTTACTTGTCTCATCCAGAATGTACTTTGTTCATAACACAGATTGGGAAGAATCTGAGATGAACCAGGGGCCCCAGGAAGCCTTCTTGAATTGCACCATCTCCTTGGGGTACAGTGGTCCACCAGCCAGGATTTGACCCACTCAGAAAGGCTGACAGGCATACGTTGGGGAGAGAGGAAGTGCTCCCAAGTATTGTTACTTCATTCCCCACCTTCTCTTTGGGCCTATCCTGAAAACCATTCTACTTTGGTGGCCCTGCTAGAATCAGAGTTCCTCTGGTGTAGCCTTCAGAAATTCAGAGTCACCTTCATATTTGGAAGAGTCAGGAGAGGGTTTTAGTTGACATTGCTTTTTTTTTTCTTTTTTGAAGAAATAGTTTGATACCTTTTTGTTTCAATATCACTTTCATTTGCAAATATATCCTGGTCCATTGAGAGCTGTCCCTGGTAACAAAAAATGAGATGCACTCAGAAGAGTTCAGATTGAACTAGGCCTGGTGCTGACAGTATTCCAGTTTCTTCCATCTTTCTGAAGAAGGAAGGAAGGGAGGGATGCTTCCCCTACTCTTTTCTTTCATTAGAATTGCTGGGGCAGCTTGGTGGCACAGTGGATAGAGCACCGGCCCTGAAGTCAGGAGGACCTGAGCGCAAATCCAGCCTCAGACACATAACACTTACTAGCTATGTGACCCTGGGCAAGTCACTTAACCCCATTGCCTAGCCAAAAAAAAAAAAAGAATTGCTATGGTTTGGTTTTCGTCCGCATTTTTGTGTGCATTATTTCCTGCATCTCTTCATGTAAGTCTCCTCACGCCCCTCTGAATTCTTGGTACCAGTTTTCACAGCACAGAGATACTCCCTGACAATCTGGAGTCTACCTTTTCACCAGTCATAAATGTCTCCTTTCTTTTCAGTTCTTTGCTCCCATACAAAGTGCTACTCTGAATATTTTGGGGTCTGTGGGGCCTTTCTCTCTTTGACTAGGTTGCCTTTTGAAACCTCATTGTTTTTAATGTGCAGGTAATCAGGGATGCCAGGGTACTGTTTATCTTGACTTCAGGGATTCCTTGCTTTGTATCTCAGGGGACCTTTGATTTCATCAAAGAGAACTTGTTATCCAGAAAAGCTGAGCTGCTCATAGTTGATGAATTAGAAGTCAATTACACTTCATTATTTGGCTCATTAAAAATTAGGAGCTGAGTTTCATCAACAGTTTTTTTTGGGGGGGGGAAGAGTGAGCAGTAGATTCACATAGAGGTGACTCTCATTTCCCAGGGAGTCAGTGGCCCTCAGAGGAACTCATTTTTGGAGTAGAGGAGGACCTGGGTTCAGGTCCTAGTTGTGCTGGTACTACCTCTGTGACCATGCACAGGTCATTTTAGTTCTTTGTTTCCATCTTTAAAATCCTGGGGTGGATAATCTCTTGGGTATCTTCTAGTTCTAAATGCTGTGATCTAGGCCTAGGGTTCTTCACTTTTTTTGGAGTCATAGAACACATTAGAAATCTGAAGCCCAGGACCCATTCTCAGGGTCATGTTTGTTGCCTACATGTATAATTGAGGGATAATGACAAGTAAAACTAAAGATGTGACCTTTTTCCCCTCTAGATTATCATAGACACCCTGAAACCAATGCATGGATCCTTTGGGGTTCTGTGGCCCCAGGTTAAGAGTCTTATCTCAACAAAGCTTTGAGACTAGTGGCTATTATAGATTTCTTTGCCAAAGGGTAGATGAATACGAAGAATTTCTGTTTTATGTTAAACTTGACGTCAGCCCGGGAAACCTGAAAGAGGTAAGCAGTCAGCAGGCGGTGGGTTATTGGTTATAGGCAGAATCCATCCCGATGCATTATTGTAGGGCAGAGCAGCAGAAAATGGTCTTCTCTCCTCTCCAAATAATGTTTTGGTTGGCCTTTAGTTCTTTTGTCACTTGACAGGGTGTAGATGACCTTAGCTAAGTTCAGAGGACCTGGCTTTGAATCCAGGTTTCTCCACTCATCATTAAGTGACTTGACTTGTTAGTTCCCCTCAGCTCCGCAGGCTGTGACATGATGGAGCTGTACTCGATGACCTTCAGATCCCGTCCAGCTTGAGTTGGGCTTATCCAAAGTCTTCCTCAGCAAGGGGAGGTATTGACTTGAATTTGTTTGACCTGCTGAAATTGAGGAGTAAGTAGGGAAAGGAATTGGGATTTGAAGTAAATGCAAGGATTTGTTGGGTGGCATCAGAGAAAGGAGAATTAAGGAAGACTAGGCCTGCTCCTTGGGGCCAGTGGCACAATGATAACTAGTGGAAGGTGGCAGTGCTCAGCTCATTATTTTGCTTCTGTGTTCTGTGGGACCAAAGGAAAAGGCCAATCCTCCCACCACCCCCTCCAAAAAAATGGCCAACAGGAGCCATGCCCATGGTAACTGGGGGGAAAGTGGGGCAGTAGCTCCAACTTGTTCTTGATGAGTTCACATTGCTAGGCCTTGATGCAAAGCATCCTGCAATTGGCACTTACTGTAGTCCTGAAGACAGGCAGGGTCTGGATTTTCCCTCCCCTCCCCTCCCCTCCTCTCAAAGAGGAAGAGCCTGCAGACTGTAGAGGCCAGGGAGCTTGACTTCAATTTCTGGCAGTATTCTAGAATTTTTGTTGCTTTGTAGACAGTGAGAAAAGGAAGCAGTGACTCCAAAGAGGCAGAACCTGCCTTTATCAAAAATGTGATTGTTTTGGCAGGGAGACTGGTATATCAGGGAATGCTGAGTATGTGTAGTTTTGGCTAAATTTGTATTTGATAATCTCTTGCTCTTTGTGGATGAGAAGTGGGTTAAAAAAGAATCAGGTGGATTTGGAACTGGTTTGATGAAGGCAGATTCAAAGAATAATGATGAATGGTTTGATGTTGTCTTGGAAAGAGCGCTCTCTAGGCCTTTGGGATCCATCTTTGGCCCGGTGCTGCCTGACCTTTTTATCACTGGCCTCGATAAAGTGCTCCACACTTCTCCAATTTTCAGAGGGCTCTAAGCCAACAGGGATAGCTCCAAGTCAGGGGCCCAAAAGATCTTGAAAGACTGGAACCTTGAGCCAAATCAAACTAGATCACATTTCAGAGTCCTAAATTTGGGTTCAAGAAATCACCTTCGTAAGGATAAGATGGGGGAAAGGTGCCTAGACATTTTATTTTGAAAGACTAAAGTGACAGTTCGGTCTGAGCCAGCAGTGTGATGTGTCAGTGAAGGATGATAACGACACCTGAGAGGGCAGTCATACTGATGATGAGGGAAGTCATGGGGCCGCCATACTCTGTCCTGATTAGACTTCGGAGGCAGTTTAGAAAAGACAAGATTTAGGCTGGATGTCGGGAATCGTCTCTGTACCAGAGCTCTCCCAAAGTGGAGCTAGAGAGTTTTCTTACTCAGGAAGGAGTGACTTTGTTGTCACTAGAGGTCTTCAGAGTGACCAAATCAGGTGTGTTGTTGAGAAGATTCTTTGCAAGCATGGGTGTTATACTCGATGACTCCGAGTTCCCTCCCACCTGGGAGGGTCCATAATTCTGAACTGGGACTGCTGGGAACAACTTGTGCAGGTGGGAAGCTGTTAGCTAGAGCAGGAAGGGACCTTATTGATCCCCTCTTCTGACCCTCTCATTCTACAGATCAGGAGATGGACCCAAAGGGCTGGCATCATGTATACTGGTAGTAAGAGTCAGGGCCAACATTCTCTCTCAGGGCCTCTGTCCAGATCTGAGGCTCTTCCCACCGCAAAATAGTTTGAGGTAGAAATGTAAGTAAAAGTGAGCAGCCTCCCCTCATCATGTGTATTCCAGGGGTTGAGGTTCTATGATGCTGAGAAGCGCCAGTCAGCTCAGGTGGAGGGAGTTCAGTCAATTAGAAACATAAGAGATGTGTAAATTGGGGGAGAGAGCATGGCCTACCTCATGGCAGTCATTTGATGGGTGTGTTTCCATCATAAGTGGACCACAGCTGCCGCAGTAATGTAGCTTCTTTCAGTTTTCTAATGGTGCTCATTTTGATGGCTAACTGACTCTACCTTTGACCTTTCAGAACCACCCATGAGTTCCTGTTTGGAGCCCTTGCTGAGCTCGTGGACAATGCCAGGTTTGTATCCTTTGGGCTTATTTGTCCTCTTTGGATGGGAGGCTTTTTGTGTTGTGGTTTGTCTTTGTTAACTCACTGACCTTGCTCTCCACAGCAAGGTGAGTGGGAGTTCTATTTTTTATTTTACTGTGAAGGATAGTTACTTGTTCACTTAATAGAGTAAGACCACGCACTCATCTGTTGATTACAAGCCAAACATTTGTCCACCAGCATTAATGACTCCAGTGGAGGCGGGAGAGCTTAACCCAAGGGATAGGGTTAGAGTTGACAGTGGACATGCTTGTAAACAGCCCTTGTCTATATTTGCTAATGGTTTTCTCCTTGTAGCTGTAATAGAAAAATTTTCTTCAAGGAGTTGTGAAGGCTCTGAGGCTTTGACCAGAAATACCTTTTCCTTTTAATTTCCTTTTAATTCTTGTTGAAAACGTGTTCATATTGTATGAGTCCTTTTTCTGCCCTAGTAAGTAGAGTAGGCTAAGTACATGAATTTTTCTTTTAGAGTCTTGCAATGCCTCATTTTTAGGTATTCAGTTTGCATGGGCACTTGAGGGTTGAGCTGCAGACAAAATGTCACATTTGGTGTGGAGCATCTCCCCAGCTCTGCTTTTCTAGGCCCTATACCTAACTACCACAGTCCTCTCTTCCCATCCCCCATGATTCTGTTTGCTCAGTCTGCCCTCTGGTTGTCCAGTGCCCCAACTTTGGTTTGGAGTAGGGAAGACCTGGCTTAACAGCAGTTCTTGTGGAAAACATGTGGTTCTCAGTGGATCACTGCTGGTCAAATCAAATGCCTCTCCTGATAATGCCCTGGGGGAATCACATCCTGAGTTTTCTGGGGCTATTCTTTTCCAATTTCCAGAAAATATGTACATTTAATGAGTATCTGCCAAAGGAATGTCTGTTGTCAGGCTCTGGTCCCAATCGTCAGCTCCAGAAGTATTACATCTCCTCCTTCCTTATTTCCCCTGTGTTTCAACCACCTTCTTATTCCCTTTTTGAAATTTCGTGGTGGATGGAGGAGGTGTTGAGCAGGTGGACATTCTCTGGGGAGAGTGACTGTTCTCCTTCCTCCTTCCCTACCATTCTGTAAAATATCAAGAGACAGTTTGGTGTCCTCTTTTTTACATTAGCCTTGATTCTGACTTGAGGAAGTATTGTTTATGTTGACTCATGCTAAGCCTGGGCATTCCTTAGAAGGTATTTTCCCCCCTCCCCCCACTTCTTCATAGAGGAGAATCAAACAAACTTGGATTTCTTGTTGTCTCTCTTCCCACACTTCTTTTTTTTTATTTTTATTAATTTATTTTGATTTATCAACAATTACTTCATAAGCTTTTGAGTTTAAAATTTTTCTCCCCCTCCTTCCCTAAGACAGCATGCAATCTGATATAGGCTGTATATATACATTTCTATTAAACATACTTTCACATTAGTCATGTTGTAAGGAAGAATTAGAACCAATAGGAGGAACCACCAGAAAGAGGAAACAGACCATCCTTCTTAATCCTCTGTTACCTGGCTTCCAGCCCCAGCATACAAAGAATACAGCTTTCTCCACATTTGCTGTATTCTCCTAATTATTCAATCCCGAGTCCTCATCTTTCAGTGCTTTTGGCCTTGTTGACCACTCCCTCCTTTGGTTATTCTCTTTAGATTTTTATGTCACTCTTCTCTATTAGTTCTCTACCAGGATATCTGCCTAAATACTTCTCAGTCTCCTTTCCTGAGTTCTCTTCCATATTCTTCCCCCTAATGGTGACTATCCCGTAATGCTCTCTCTTTCTCTCCACCTTGGTGATCTCATCACCCACACATTGAACAATCACCTTTCGTCAGAAAACTCCTGTATCTGTGGATCCAACCCTGAGAGTTCTCTGAGCACCCACTTGGTCCCACTGCCTGTAGACATCTCCATCTGGATGTCTTTATGTAGAAGTCAGTCTCAAAACATGACTAACAGAAAGCCGCTTCATGCTGGCCATACTTCATCCTTTCTAGGGTTTTTAAGGGTGAACTTGGAAGGAAGGAAGGAAGTGAACGTATGAAAAAAAAAATCAAAGCTTTCCACGACAGACCTTCATCAGGGACAGTTGAGCCACTGTCTTGGGTCTCAGTATTATGGCGTCCTGAATGAGAAGTCATGAACAAAGATGAGAGAGCAGCTGGACTGGAATAGAGGACATGACAGGAATTGGGGGTGCTTGGGGACCAGCTCTCAAGACAACCGAAGGAGATATAACTTGTGGACCTGATTGCTGCAATAAGGCAGTTAAAAAACAACATCAAGGGGCAGCTAGATGGCACAGTGGATAGAGCACCGGCCCTGGAGTCAGGAGGACCTGAGTTCAAATCCAGCTTCAGACACATAACACTTAGTAGCTGTGTGACCTTGGGCAAGTCCTTTAACCTCATTGCCTAGCCCCAAAAAAACAAACCATCAATCAACCCATAAGGGTTTTCACTGCAAAATTCTCAAGGATAATCTCAGATTGTCCTGAAGATGCATCTAGGGCCTTCTTTTGAGTGGTTATTTTTTGTTTCTATACTTTAATCATTTCTCAGCCATCTCATCCTCATAAGGGAAAATAAAGTCAACTAAGTGAAACTAGTTGACCCAGCCAGTGACCACTGACCGCATCTGTCCCTCACCTCCATTGAAGGAAGGAGACAGGTTTCATCATCTGTCCAAGCTCAGCCAGTTTCATTATCAAAATCGATCTTCATGAAGGTATGAGAAGGAGCAGGAGGCTTATGCAAGCTGTATTCTATGGCACACCTCATCTTCACAGTCATGCGATTGACCATATGTGAAGAGATGCTATGATTCCATTGTGTTCGTTGTTTTTACTGCAAAAAAAAAAAAAAAAAAAGATTCCGTAGATCAAAGGTCCTTTTGGGACGCAGACTCCTTTAGCAGCCTGGCCAAGGCCATGGACATCTCAGAATCATGTCTTAAAGTGCATAAAACACATAAAATTTTAAAAGGAAACCGATGATATTGAAAAATAGTTATCAAAAGACAAAAAAGCTTCATAACCTGCAGGTTACGAACTTGCACAGTGGAACAAAATCTAGACAATAAAGCTTTCTTCCATCAAGATGTCTCCCGTGTATATGTCAGTCATAGAAGATTTTCTGAAAGATGTAGAAGAAATGACTTTGTATTGTTCCCATCAAATGAATTATAAAAGCAGAGGTGTTGGCCACTGTTATGAAGGATGATCTGGTCATAGTCCACATGGAAGAGATTTACAGGTAAACGTGTTGGTTGCATCAATTCAGTTTCAGCTTGGTAAACATTTATTAAGCACCTAATGTATGCCAGGCACTGCTTAGCACCAATAAGGGAAAAAAAAAAAAAGACTGAAGACAGCACATGAAAGGAAGCTGAAAGGCAGGGTGGGAGGAGTCACTGAGGACACCTACAACATGGCCCTTGGAGTGGAAACCATGCACAGCTGCTGGTGGAAAATGGAGAGTTCCTTCTATAAAATAGGAAGGCTTTGGGAGGTGATTACGGCTCCACCCTCCAGCCCTCCAGTCAGAAGGGAGTTGAGAACTAATAAGTATTGAAAACGAGTCCATTGGGGTGGTGATGAGATCAGGCCTTAGAATATTACAGAACCTTCTCAGTGAGATGCACACGCCACTCCAAAGACTTCCACCTAAGTATCTACAACCAAATGGATAAAGAGTGTTTATTGGACAGATGCTGCAGATAGACAAAGAACTAGGTTTAGATATGAGTAGGAGGCAGCAAGGTGGTGCAGTGGATAGAGCACTGGGTCTGGAGTCAGGAAGATCTGAGTTCAAATTTGGCCTCAGACACTTACTAGCTGTGTGACTCTGGGCAAGTCACTTCACCCTGTTTGCCTCAGTTTCCTCATCTGTAAAATGAGCTGGAGAAGGAAACAGCAAAACCGTTCTAGTATCTTTGCCCAGAACAACCCCAGCTAGGGCCATGAAGAGTTGGATAGGACTGAACAGCAAAAGGACTCCTGCTCTGACAGTGGTTCAGTGCTCTTAATGACCCCAAACAGCAGCGTTCCAGTGTTGACAGCATATGGCTAGGCAGTTGTCTGCCCACAGTCTCCAAAGAGTTCGAGTTGAAGAGTGATGGAGAGGTACCTAGTGGGCGTGAGAAGGTGGTAACCAATGAAGAATCACCCAGCAGAAGCAGCAAAGTATCCCACAAAAGAGGTGACCAGGAAAAGGAGGTGGGCTGGCTTGGCAGGGAGAGGAAGAATCCATGAAAGGCAGCCCTTGTGCTCCATTGGGATCCATGCCATGACAGGAAGGCTGGTGAGAGTGGAATATTGATGGGAGGATGTGGCTGGCATCTCACAAGGACTGACTTCCTGTTCTGTATTTGTGCCTGGCTTGCAGTAGGTGCTTATTAAGCGGTTATTGACCGACTGACTCCTCACTATCTCTCACTCCCCATACCCAGTCTGTTGTCTGAGCCTGTCGGCTTTGCCTTTGTAACATCTCTCACAGATACTCCTTTCTCTGTTCTGATACTGCCCTCACCCTGGTAGAAGCCCTCGTTTCCTCACACCTGGACTGTTTCTGTTGCCAGCTGGTGATTCGGCCTGCCTCAAGTCTCTCCCCATTCCAGTCCGTCCTCTATTCAGCCACTCAAGTGATTGTCCTAAAGCTAAGGTACTCCATCCCTGTCCCTGTCCCTCCAGGATCGAGCGTAAAATCTTGTTGACATTCAAAGCCCTTCATAATCTAGCACTCCCCCCTTCTAATCTTCTTAGACCTTATAGCCCTTCACCTTCCCTCCACGTACTCTTTGTCCAGCAACACTGGCCTTTAGGTTATTCCTGAGAAAACGACATTTATCTCTCACCTGTAGGGATTTTCACTGACTGTCCCCTGTGCCTGAAATACTCTCCCTCCCCATTGCTTCCTGTCTTTCCTGGCTTCCTGCAAGTCCCAGCTGACATCCTACCTTGTCCAGGAAGCCTTTCCCGACCCCTGCCTTCGGTTGAGTGGTTCCTAGATATGCTGTCTGTGACTGGTGGGTTCACAGTTATTTTATGCCTGACCTGTGGTAGAGCCTTCTGAGCTTGTATTGGTCTGATCAGCCACAGTTGGATACACGGTACTGTGGCTCTGACGTGGAGATGTTATGTTGATTCTCTTCAAGTGGGAAGGGCAGGAGCTGTCTTTTACCTTTCTTTGTCCCCAGTGCCCAGCACCATGCCTGGCACATAGTAGGTGCTCAATAAGTGTTTATTGACTTGACTAGATGGTACCTAAGGTCTCTTCCAGCCACAGTCCTATGATAATGAGCATTTAAAGGACCTTGCAGAATTAGCCCTGCCTCCCGTCCCATAAAAGAATCCTCTCTGTAGTGTTCCCAGCATGTGGTTATCTAGCCTGGGCCTAAACAGCTCCAGGCAGAAGGGGCTTAGCACCTCACAAAGCCCATTCTCTGAGAGGATGGTTCTGCCTGTTTAGGCAGGACTTAAACTGACTTCTCCAAAGCAGGAACCAGTCAGACTGTGCCTCGGGGTGACTTTTGGTGTGCCCCCCCCCCCAAGAGGCTCAGCCTCTTTCCTCAGAACAGCTCTCCAGGTATTTGAACATAGTGATCAGGTTGCTCTGAAGGCTTTTCTTAAGGGAAACATCCACTCTTCCTCACAGGATGTGGCTTTCAGGTTCCGCTGCCTCCGGCAGTCTTCTGACCCAGCCCCAAGCTGAAGACAGTGGGTCTGAGCCCTGCAGAGGCAGCAGCCCTGAAGCTTGCCTCTCCGCACATTTCTGTTGATGTCCTCTAGGATGGAAGCTGTGTCACACGGTTGACTTTGGTCTGTTTAAAAAACCAAACCAAACTGCAGTGGTTCCCCTTCCCCCACATACAGATTGCTCTGTAGGCAAGTTTTCTCCATCTTGGATTCCTGAAGTTGATTTTTTTAAAAACCCAGATGACTTAATGAGCCATTTGTTTCTCTGCCCATCTGTATAATGAAGGCGTTGGAGGTTAATGACCGACCTGTCTGGTCCTCTCGGCTCTAAATGGGATTGTATCCTACAGAGCGAGAGCCGGTTTGATCCAGGCCCTCTCTGGGTGGTTGGCCTGGTGACTGAATTCTGTGACTCGAGCTCAGCTTAAATGAGAGACGTCTGCTTTTCAGGATCAGGGGAAAATGAGATGAACTCTTGTGATGGCGCTGATTGCCAGGCACTCTCCACGTGACCTGCTTTTCCATTAAACCTTGGCAACAGAGTTCTCCACTAAGTCACAGGAAAGCATGATAGACTGGGGAGGAAAAGCATGGAGTACCTGGATTTGATTTCCATCCCTGCTGCTGCCTGCCTTGGTGCCAGTTGCTTCCTCCTGGGCCCTTCCAGATCTGACTTTGTGTCCTCTGGTTTTCTGGCCAGGATCTTGATGACAAACCACATGGGACTGACTGCTCATACGTCATGCTTTCTAATTTACAAAAATACAAGTGAATGTCCAAGAGGCTCATAGAGGAATCATTTTGTGACACTTAAAGCTTTTCTTCATCATCCTGCAAATGTTCCCACCGTGAAGCGATTTGCCAGGTGTCCCGGGGCCCCATTTTGTCCCATTGTCTCATCCCACACCTTCAGAGGTATGAAGGCAAGGCCTTCTGCTGACTGGAGCCGTCAGGTGCAAGATCTTGGCACCATGTATGTTTGCAGTCTTTGTAACTGTCCCCCACCAGAGTCAGGGTCAGCAAACATTTATGAAGCGCCTGCTCTGGAAATGCTCAGAGGAGGTGTGAGTTGTAGAGTTGCTGAATGCTGAGTCCAGGAGATCCTGAAGGCCAGGTGGTCAGCCGCTGGGAAGTGGTAGAGCAGATGAAAAGCTAGGCTGAGGGGAGCTTGCTTCGTAGTCCTGCTTTACATGCTGATTGTCTCTCTCTTTCTCTCTTTTTTAGAGATGCTGATGCCACCAGAATAGATATTTATGCAGGTAAGCCAGACGTTTAGTCTTCCAGGGCCCATTTCTTCTTATGCAGTTATTGCTGAGCCTAAAAAAGGAGAGGGTGGGAAAAGGAACAGTTAGCTTGAATTCATGTTGTCTTGGAGTGCCTGGGGCCTGGGTTCCAATGGAGGACTGCTAGTTACTCTGTGTGACTGTGGGCGAGTCACTTAACATCCCCAGACCCCCGTTGTTCCATCTGTCACACAAGGGCATTGAACCAGATGACCTTTATGGAAAATTGTGTCCTCCAAGGTGAGGTCTAAATGGCAGTAAGTCAGCCTCAGAGATTAAATAATACATTAAGCACCACAGAGCAAGATGAGGGGTCCAAAGATCATGCAGATAGTCATAGGAGATCAAGAGAAATTCAAGAGATTGAGGCAGAAGGTCCACCAGCCAGGTAGCCAGCCAGTCCACAAGCAGGGAAGTGAAGTGCCCAGGCTGAGCAGGGACGTGACGGGAGAAGCAGGAACATGGACAAGAAAGGCCTCTCCAGGCTCCACTTGTCCTTGTGCTCCTTTGCTCTGGTAAGAACCAAGTCATCCTGCTCTAGAGGCCTTCAGAGGATGATGGCCAGATGCTTGGCTCCCTGGGTCCTCAGCATCTGCGAGCATGGGGAAACAGATCATTGACTGGCAAAGACTTGCCTCTGCCCTGGCAGGGAGGAAATAGCTCACTTGGCGTAGGATTTTCGGCTCCATGGTGTCTCAACTCATCTTTGTATGTAATTGGCTCTGTCCATTTGCAGTGATGTTGTGTTTCCTCCGACTGGGTGTAGAGATGAAGGATCTCAATGTCATCATTTATTCCTTTGCATTCTGCTTGTTGCTTGAATGTTTGGATGGGTACCTTTCCATCTTTATCATTTGAGTAATGAAAAGTTGGAAAGGGAGCAGAGAAAGGCAGCTTTGAGGTGTTGTGCGGCCTGGGTCATTTGTTTTTCCCTGAAGAACTGTTCCTGTGGGAGAGGCAGTGTGGTTTAATGAAAGGTGCAAGACTCAGATACTGACTCTGATACTAGCTGTGTGATCCTGGCCAAGTCATTTCTTTGGGCCTCAGTTTCCTCATCTGTAAAATGAGGATAATGGCATCTATCCAGCGGAGTCCTTTTCAGGATCAAGTAGGACAGTGCACTAAAAGTGTTTTATGTAACCTGATATAAATGGCAGATATTCTGAGAGGTCTGAAGTAATTTTGAACAGAATTAATGAGATTTTTTTTCTATCATTTTTCTTTTTTTTTTATTAATTTCTTTTGATTTATCAACGATCACTTCCATATGCTTTTGAGTTTAAAATTTTTCTCCCCTTTCCTTCCCCACCACCCTCCCCAAGACGGCGCACAATCTGATATAAGCTATACATGCCTGTTAAACGTATTTTCACATTAGTGACGTTGAAGTAAAAATTAGAACCAATAGGAAGAACCTCCAGAAAGAGGAAACAAAACTCAGTAGAAGAGAAAAAAAAATAGCAATTCAGCTTCCATAGTTCTTTCTCTGGATGTGGATAGCATTTTCCATCATGAGGCCTTTGGAGATGTCTTAGATCCTTGTATTGCTGGGAAGGGTTAAGTTTATCAATATTAGTCATCGTACAATGTGGCTGTTATTGTGTACAGTGTTCTCTCGGCAGAATTAATGAGATATTGCGAACTGAAGATTTTATGTTGACTTACAAAGTGATCTCCCTGATAATCTTTTGGGGATTAGGCTCATTCTGCAAATAGAAACTTCCTTGTGACAAGTACCACACAAATAGTCACTTGTGTGTCTCGTTATCTTTCTTTCATGGTGATGAACCTCCTCAAGTGGAGCTTAGTTTCCCCTTTCCCTGCCTGCAATGAAGGAAATGTGCACTGCATTTGGGCAGCTGCCCCGGGTTTGACTCCTGAAAACCTAAACTAGCTCTGGCTCCATGGTGAAAAGAGCCCAGTTTTGTTTTTGTCCCAGAAGAAGCCAGGAAAAAAGAGGTTGTTGGGCGCATCACCGCTTGAAAGGTGATGCCGAGGCCCAGTTGTCCACCGGTGAGTAGCAGGTCACCATGTTCATCGTGAAAGAAGGAGCCCTAGAATCCAGAACTTTCATTGGGAAGGCCCTGGGAGAGATGACCGTTATTCCAGGCCCCTTCATCTTTATAGAGCCCCCATCCCTGTACTTATTACCTGTCTGATCTCCAGTCACTTGGCAAGTCACTTTACCAACTCCCTTTGCCTCTAAGGTCTCAGCTCCAAATCCGTGATCCTGTGATCTTCATCCATTAACTTAAGTGTTAAAAGGAATGAACCCAGTAACCCTGATTCTCTTTTTTTAAAATTACTAAAACATTAAAAAAATTGAGATCCAGATTCTCTCCCCACCCCTCCCCCATGCACTGAGAAAGAGCCAGTACGATCCTGATGCTATCTTGCATAAACCCAGAAAACTGCTTCCTCCACTCCCCCAAAAATAAAGCTCGAGCTACGTGGGGGCTGATTTCCTCTCTGTTGAGAGGCAGAAGTGGCAGGGTTGGCTTCACCCTGTGCCCAGAGGGGAGAAACATCACCTGATGGAGCCCTGGATATTGTCTCTCGGCAGTGTGCTCCAGGCGGACAGACAAAGGGAGCCGTCCTGGTGCTAACAGCGCAGCTTACACACCCACCTCTGCCGGAGAGGGGAAGAGGGGGCCTCTTTTTAAGAGCGTGGCAGGATCCTGCAAATCAGGGCAGTAGATACTTGGTGACTTTCATACGAAAGTGGGCAGAAGGGAGGGGATGGCCCAGGCTGTCAGAGAAATGGGAAAAGACCCGAGGCCTGTCCGTTGCTCAGAATCCTCACACCTAATGATCCTGAAGACCATGTTACTGTTGCCTTTTTTCTAAATTCTTTTTTATTAAGAATGTAACCATCATCAACAGACACAAATGTGTCTGTACTCAACAAAGAACGAGTCTTGGATAAGAGTTTATACAGTTTGTTTATTTTAATGTATGTAGATACACATATGTATGTATACACACGCAAACACATATAATGAAGGAGTAAAAAAATCATTCTACCTGGTGTCTCCTCTGGAATTCTACTTTAATCATTAGACTGGTAAAGATGACCAGAGGGAAATGGTGATTTTTGGAGAGGTAGTAGTAGAACGGGCCCACTTCTAGAAAGCAATATGGAATCGTATACAAAAGTCACTCAAATGTGCATACCCTTTGACCCCATGATACTATTACTAGGCATGTATCCCAGGGAAATAAAGGGCAGAGAGAGGACCCATATGTTCAAGACTGTTTATAATAGCAGATAACTGCAAACAGAATCGGGACCCATCCAGTGGGAAATGTACAAATCAGCTGAGGTCTATGAATGCCCCCATATCCAGAGTGTTCTCTCTCTTCCCCTTCTGGGCTTCTTTCAAGACTCAGCTCAAATCTCACTTCCTGAGGAATCCTTAGCCATCTGCATTTTTCTCTCCATACGTGGTTTTCTTTGTGGAAGCTCACTCCAGCCCGGGAATCATCCCCTGGAAGTCTGCTCTGCCCTTCCGTCCTTCCTCTCTGATGGATGGCTCCTCCCAGGATCTCCATCTAAGGAGGGTCCTCAGGCCAGCCCTGACTTCTGCCCGCACCTGGCAGCTGCTGTTTCCACTTGCCCCACCCATTTTCTTTTTATGTGTTATCTCCTCAAAGGAATGGGAGTTCTTTGACTTTCTTTCTGCTTTTATTTGCATTCCTAGCACTTAGCACAGTGCCTAGAACATAGCAGGAGCCTAATATAGCCCCATCCACTTGGTGTGCCTTCCCCCTGAGATTACCTCCCAATAACACTACCTATAGCTTGTGTGTACATAGTTATTGGTACATTGTCCCTCCCGTTAAAATGGAAGCTCCTTGAGGGCAGGGACCATGATTTTGCCTTTGTATCCTAGGGCCTAGCACTGTACCTGGTACATAGTAAGTGCTTAATAAATGCTTATTAATTGATATAAATGTAATGGAATATTATTGTGTCATAATAAAAAAAACAACTGTGACAGATTCAGAGAAACGTAGGAAAACTTCAGGCCAAAGAGTATAAACATCTTGTGTTTGTCTGGAGGTCTTCACGTAGAACCTCTCTTGGGGAGGTTGTTGAGCTTCCTGTTCACCAGGTAGAAGGGCAGGTGGGCGGGACCACCTGCCCTATGAAGTGCCTTCCGTCTCTGAGTCTGGGATACCAAAGTCAGAGCCTTTCACCTGTGCCACATTGCCAGCCTTGATAGGATCTGGATAGAGATGTGGAGTTAAGCAATTCAATTCAGTAAACATTTATGAAGCACATACTGTATGCCAAACAAGCATTGTACTAAGTGCTGGAGATACAAAGAGTCAAAAAACAGTCCCTGCCCTCAAGGGGCTCGCAATCTGATGGGGGAAGACACTATACAGAAGGAAGGGAAAAGGGACCAGGGAATCCCCAGGGCAGGGACATTGATATTCATGATGTTTCATGGCATCAAAAAACAAGCAGAGGAAAATGGAGACTTGTACATACTGAGGCAAACAAGCAGAGTCAGAACCATTTACACCGTGTTAGCGTGAAGAAAAAGAACGCTGACGGAACTGAACTCGATTGGGAGATGCAGCGGGCAGTGACAGCATTGGAAGACTAAGGAGGAAGCAGCTGCTGCCGCGTGGCCTGCATGGGGTGTTGAGAACAAGGCATGAGCCATCATCGGCCTTCTAGGAAGATTATTGGTTCTTGTGTTACACAGCCTTCAAGAATTCCTTCTTTCAGTGCTAGACACGCAGAACGGTGAATAACACTGCAACAAAAAAAGGAAATTGACTATTTTAATGGATGGAACGTGACCAAGTTGCCAGTGCAAAAAGTTGCATTAGAATTGGTCATCTTTGTGCATTGACTAGTTAGAACAAAGGTCATAATGTCAATTTAGAAGAAGAGCTCTGGATGAGAAGGCAGTGTGAATAATCTCATTGAAATTTCCATTCAAATGTGCTGTTGATGCTGAAAATTGGAAAATAGAAAAGGGCAGAGATACTGGCCTTATTAATGACAAAAGAGCCCAGAAGCTGACAGCACAACCATGAAGGCAATGTTGGTTTATTGCAAACTCGTTGGTTGTGAGACACTGGGTTAGATTCCAAGAAGTATTGCTTTATAAAACTGCCAAAAGCCGTGGAAGCAGAAACAAGGGAAGAGAAATGTTGATGTGAGACCCTGCTGAGTCCCCCCACCCCAAGATCAGAGTGTTTCGTAGGTGAAGCTGGAAAGAGGACAACGCAGGGACAGAAAATGGAACAGATGTTGTTGGGGGATGGGCCCTCTCAGGCCTTGAAGAGAGAACCCCATAGAGAAGAAAGTGGGAATTGCAGCTGGGCCAGACCATGGATACACAGAGGTCATCAGTCTGGGAGGCAGTACCATTATGAGGGTGTGGAAGAGTCTCTTTACAAGGTGGCTCAGTTGGGGAAGGAGACGAGAGATTGGAAGAAATCTCAGAGTCCTACCCAAAAGGCCACTGACAGTATATGGGTCACTACAACCTCCGTGCTTTTCTTTTCTTTATGAAATCAGGGTGAGAATGATCTCAACAGCATTTTGAGGATATCCTTGATGAAAATGTAAGGGAACAGGCAGGCCCTTAACTAACACTTCTCAGCAACTATGAAGTTTTATTTTTACAGTTGACCAAAACGTGCAGAAAATGTAACAACCCTACTGTACGTGATTGTTGATGACCAAAATGAAAATTAAATTTTAAAAGGTACTTGCTGTGATGGCACCTCATAGGGCTCCACCGAGTAGTCTGAGAGCATATATCGGGACATGCTTCCTTGATGAATGGAAGTGCTGTCAACTGTTCCATTTTCAATGATTAATCTTAACTGAGGAATAATACAAAGATGTCTGCTAACCAAAGGGGTTCACCATTGTCATGGAGGCTGCCTTGTGCCAGGTCCAAGAGGAAGAGCTGAGGTCCAAGAGGAGGACCTGAGTTCAAATCCAGCCTCAGACACTTGACACATGCTAGCTGTGTGACCCTTGGCAAGTCACTTAACCTTGATTGCCTCACCCAAAAAAAAAACCAACCCAATCAGGAGAGTCCTTTCACATGCTTCTGTTTGTGGGTGACAGTGGACAGTTAGATCAAGGCCCTCAGCAACTCCTCACTGAGGTCCAGAATTACTCAAAAGTAGTTGGTCTAACAGTCCATAGGAGAAAAATTAAATGTGTAAAAAACATCTCTAGTTCAGAGTGACAAGCAGCTGAATGGCCAGAGTGGGTTGGATTGTGCTTAGGGAATCGTGCAGTGCTTTTAGTGATCCTTCACTTTTCACCCCAAATGTTGTCCTGGCAATGCTAGAGGACCACAAATGGATAAATGCAGCAGTTGTAGTGGAGAGCGGACTGGTGCTGGAGAGACTCAGAGTGGGAAAGCGGGCTGCACCACTTCACCAACAATGACCAGGACTTGGGAAGCAACAGGAAAGATGCCATTAAGGGAATTAATGTCCAGAAGAGGAGGTAGGCTGGTCCTGTGACAAGAGTGGAAGATTACAGATGAGACCCTCCTGTTCCGTGGACACTTAGAAGACTTTAAAGACCCAGAGGAAGGCCTTTGTGGGCATGGTGGGGGGAGCTTCCTCAGAAGAGCGTTGAAAAGAATGGCACAGGGTTCTAGGATCTAGGCCAGTGAAGTGACGACGAGGTCCCTCGGGACCTGAATGTTGAAGCATACAGAGCCAAAGTCTGATTCTGTTGTGTTCATTTTATATGCCCACTTTCCTAGTCCGATCTCTTAGGCCTATAGCACACTGCCCTCCTACCTGTCTGCCTAGGAGTTATCTCCATGGGCTAGCTTTCTTTCTACCCTTTTTGTTTCCCACGTGGGGATCACCTGGACCCAGAGAAGCCATTGAGGCTTTCGTTTATAGATGAATGGGCCCAGCCTTGATCTGGAACCACACTGGTATCCCAGCCCTACCAACAATCGGATCATTTAATGCAATCATCAACCATTTATTAAGTGCTTTATTATGTACCTAACACTGTTGCTAAGCAGTCTCTGCCCTCAGGAGCTTGTAGCCTAATGACACACACACATATAAATAGGTGTCCATACCCAGGTGGTATTTAAGCTGATTGTCAAAGGAAGCCAGGGATTGATTCTAAGAGGTGGAGGTGAGGAGGCATGGGACACAGCCAGTGCAAAAGCATAGAGACTAGAGATGAGCATTGTCAGAAAGGAATAGCAGATAGGACCTTATGGCCGAGCTGTTCAGTGTGTGAGGGCAAGAGTGTATAAAAAGCCTGGAAAGACAGGATGGGGCCGGGTTCTGCAGAGCTCCAGATGCCAGAGCAGTTTGATCCCAGGGTAGGTGAGTGCCTGCCCAGCCAGATGATAGAAGGGAGTTGAACATGACCAGGACCTGTCCTCGGGGAACTTGCTGCCTTGGTAAAGGGCTTGAAGTAGGCAGAGTCCCACCCAGTTATGGCACAGATTAGGCCAAGGCTGGGGTAGGGGTGATTTCCAATGTCGAGGAGCAGCTGGCACTAACCAGTGCCTCAGAGAGAAAGCCAGGTGCAACTTGTCCCGTGCTCCGGAAGCTCCAACTGCCGCTTTGGCCTGGCCGATACCTCAGAATGTTTGAAAAGGATTTAAATTTAAAATATAGGATTACAAAGTAAGTTAATTATATTGAAATAAGAGTCATCCCAAAAATAAAAAAATCCCCAAACCTTAGGTTAAGCACTGTTCTAGTTCAGTCCCCTTATATGGAGGAAGAAACTGAGGCCCAGAGACCATCTTTCTGTATGAATGAATAAAAAAGCATTTATCAACACTTAATATGTGCCAGAGAAGGGGAAGGAATAGATATTTATTAAACACCTTCTGTGAGCCAGACACTGTGCTCAGCACTTTACAAATATGGTCTTATTTGATCCACGCAACCACCATGTTGGGTAGGTGCTATTATTATTATCCACATTTTCCAGTTGAGGAAACTGAGGCAGATGCATTTAAGTGGCTTACCTAAAGTCACACGGCTCGGAAGTGACTGAGGCTGGATTGCACTCAGTTCTTCCTTCCTTAAGGTCTGATACTCTTATCTAGGGCAGAACGCAGCTGCCTCCAGGGAAGTCCACATACTAAAGTGTGGCATCTCCTGCCCTCAGAGATTTTTTTTCTAAATTTCTTTTCTAAATGCTGTACACTTGTTGGCCAGAAAGCCCATTTTGATCTGGGAAGTCCGTTAACAAGCCCTCTGAAGTAAGGTTAATTTGGTTACCATTTGGGATAGGCCCCATCCCCCCAAGTGCTTCTCTTCCTTGTAGAAAGGCTGCCCCCAGGACCCTACAGTGTCCCATCTGCCCTCCAGACCCCTGGCCCCACCACTATGGCCAGTGCCCAAGTTGCGCCCCAGCCCCTAGCCAGGCAGGGAGGTAGGCAGCCCTGGCTCTCCCCAGTGTCACTGTTGGAGAGATGCAACAAAGCTGGTGACCTCTGAACTCTCTAGCTCTAATCGATGACCCTGTGACCCACTTTGGGCCTTCAGGTATTTTTCTTTTTTCAATAGTTTGTTGCTTTGAAGGAAATTTGGGGCATTTTCTGCCCCGCTTCCTCTGTATTGCATCTGATTTGGATTTCTCCTGGGCTCTCATCACTCCTCCCCTTCCCACAACCTTCCCAAAGCTGTTCTTGGACTCCTGGGCTCTATTAATGGCATCATTAGGGAGCAGGGATATGATTTCTAGTCTGTCTTGGATTAGGTTTCAAATAATTTTACTAGGCTAAACATTTAATTGAAGGCTTGCAGTAGGCCAGTGAGACCTTGAGGTGTGGCTATGGAGTGCTACGGATGAGCAGCCCAGTGCTCCCTGAGGGGCCGAGGAATAGAACAGGAGATCCCCCAGTCTTGGATGGCAACCTCGAGGAAGAGCAGGACATGTCCTGAATTCCAGGTGCTCCCTGCCCCAGTGAGTGTTTCTGCGTGGGATGTGGCGGACAGGGAGTTGAGGTGCAGAGTTCTAGGTGGAGGCCCACACGTGTTTGCACATACAATTGGGTTCTGGTACGTCCTGATGGATAGCTGAGGGGGTGTCCCTTGTCCGGGGCATGGCCAGCCCGGAGGTAGCAGCCAACGTTTGAACTGACCAGATCATAGGGAGGTGGAAACCCCCTCATAGCAGGAACAGCTGGAAGAAACACTACATGTTTAGTCTGGAAAATGGAAGGCGTGCCTGAGGCAGAGGATGGTTGGCTAGGATGGTCCCCTCTGGTGGGTTCGCTGGCTCAGTGCAATCTTCTGAGCTGCCCGTTGCCTCCTTTGCTGTGTGGGGAGATGTGGGAGGTGGCACTGTGGTCCCGCTGGTGCAGGCCCAGTGTGGGGCAGCTGGCCTAGGAAAGGAGTAGAGGGGGCTGGGAGGTGAGAGTTGGACCGCTGTGGGTGTCTGTGACACCAGGGTCAGGGTCAGTGTCCTGTGCTCTGTGACCAGGTCTTGATGGGGTCTGCGTTGAGATGCTTATGGCACCTTTAAATGCCACTGAGACATTGTCCAGACTGAAAAGGGTTGGGAGATCACTTGGTGAGGGTTTCAGCTTCAGGGCTGTCATGGGCCTCTGAACTCTTGGGACCGGCAGGCTGCTTTCTTGCCTCATGCTGCTGCCCACTGACCGCTGACTGTCCTGACGCTTCTTCACAGAGCACCAGGAGAACCTCCAGGGAGGCTTCATGCTCTGCTTTCTGGATGACGGTGCGGGAATGGATCCAAGTAAGTGACTGGGGGGAGGTGGGAATGGGGGTGACCCCCCCAAAGCACAGCTCACAAGGAAGTTGAGGCCCCCTGCGGGGGCAGAGCAGCAGTCACCCAGCCTTAGCTTCTAAAGTGGGCTCCCTTCTCTGAATCATGGTTTGCTCTGCATAAACTGGGACACCCAGAATTACAGAGGAAGCCAAATGTCAGTGAAAATGAGGGCACATTTTTTTCCTGTCCAAGCTCTTGGCCCCAGATTAAGAGCCTCTGTTGTAAAGAGTCACCAGGTCCTGTCTGGACAGAAGCTGGGGTCTCCAGAGGTCGTCCTCAGCACAGTGTTGGTAGAATTCTCCCATTTGGCACGCCGAGGCTGGGCCTTCACTGACCTTGGGCACAGAAGCTGATTACTGTGAGGGGGCGCTGGTGGGGGAGGACCTCGCCACCTGGACAGCATTGGCTGTTCAATGATAAATCCACGCTATTGGTGCTGTGGAAGGGAGCCCCGAAACATGGGAGGCGGTTTTGTTTGCTGCTCTGTTATGGTCAGTCTGCACACAAACACCGGGAAGTGTGACGTGTGGCTTCACATCCCGTCCTTCTACGAGGAAGCCAGTCCAAAGCAAGCCAACACTGAATGGGAGCCAGGGGATGAGTAGCCCGATTCCATCCTGCCCCAGCTCTCTGTGTGACTCGGGGCCCATCCCTTGACCGTTCTGAGCCGGGGCATCTCCTTCTGTATCTGTAGCACTTTGTGGCTTACAAAGTGCCCTCCTTATGGTGGCCCTGTGAGAGAAGGGAGTGTGACTGTCTGTCTTACAGATGGGGAAATTGAGGTGCAGAGCCAAGAGTATCATGCCCTGGGTCACACATGTGCAGAGTGTTGGAGATGGAGTTTGAAAATGAGCTTTTTGTGACTCCGTCTGTGGAAAGCTTTAAAATTCCCTGGTCCTGTGTCGAGATGTGTCTCAGACTGAGGTTTATCAAGAGTAGTTGGGGAATATTGGAGTTGGCCAGCCCAGACCTGGACCCCCTCGCTGATATCTCCCACGAGTGCTGATATGTGATCTTCCGTCAGCGAGGAGGGCCCATCTTCTCCTGGGCAGCCCATCCCCCATTCCTCCCATTTGCTTCTTTATGGTCCCCCCTCCCCTCCATGACCCCTAGTCCTGCCTGTTGGGGGGAAGCCTCACATACACAAGGTTGTTAAAGCCTTGCTGAGGTCACGACCCCCAAGGCCTCTCTGGGCCAGACATCCCGATCTTTGACTGTTTCTTGGGTGCCATGAACTCGAGACCTTTGACTGTTTGATCGCCCTTCTTTGGATCCTTTGCAGCTTATCAGTGAATGCCCCAGCTAACCTTGGGCCCAGAAGGGAGCCCAGGCTCCCAGCCTGATCCAGAGGTGACCTTTACTCTCCCAGTGCACCTCTGTTACCCGGCTGCCTCCTGAGCCTGCAGCCCATGAAAATCCCCAGATTATTTCACACGTCTTCCTGACCCTGGCTCCTCCCCACACCTGGCGCCCAGAAGTTAGTTTGTGGAACTCAACTGGAAGACTTGATGTTTATCCCTGTGGGATTTCCTCGTCTTGCTTGAGCCTGTCCAGGTGCTTTGGGAGTGCGATGCTGGCGGTCGGGGCGCCAGGGCTCTCTTCTCACTCTTTTGATGTCTCGTGTTTCAGGTGATGCCGCCAGCGTCATCCAGTTTGGGAAGTCAGCCAAGCGGGCCCCCGAATCCACACAGATTGGGCAGTATGGCAACGGCTTAAAATCGTAAGTATTGGAGCAGCCCCAGCTCCGAGACCTCGAAATGCTGCTGGTTTCCATGTGAGACCGGCGGTGTCCTGTCTCCTCCCCACTCAGCCTCCACTAAAGTCACTAAATTCCACACTTCATTATTGATTCCTCTTGACCGTCTTTGGAGTGGGACCCAATTCAGACAGGCCCAGATGTCTTTATTTGGAAGCCAGCTAGGGTCCTGTGCAGTTCTTGAGAGAGAGAAAGTTGTTGAAGTGTGTTTGTTTAAAACCAGTGGTTGGGGGTGAAGGGCTGTGTCTGCTCCCCAGGTGAATCATGGCCCTAGTTGGGTAGTTGTCCATTTTCCTCCTGAAGAATACCTCGTTATTAGCACTGGGGGAGAATCACCCCCTTGGCCAAGCACTTGGAATGCCTGCTTGTGGCATGGGGGCCGGCAGGGTCCTTGGTGGTTCTGCTGAAGGATTATAGGCTCTAGGCAGGACAGTCCTGCCGGCCTTGAGAGACAGGAGTCCAGTGCTGGCAGGGCCCCAGTCAGATGACCAGCCTCTCCAGGTACTGCCTGCAGAGAGGCTCACCTCGAGGCTGAGTGCGGGGGAAGGGTTTTGCCCACAGGAGTTCACAAGGCCCAGCAGGCCCAGGATCTGCTGGATTGGGGAAAGAAAGGGCCACGGGGACGAGAGGTAACAGAATGATGCTTGACGTGCTGATGTGGGGCTCATAGTAATAGGACACTCCCCGTAGACAGGCAGAGGTGGCTGCCAGCAACCCCTGGGCTTGCTGACCCCAAGAGACACGTGCCCTCGTCCCTGCTGCCAGGCTTCCCTTCTCGGCTACAAGCTCCAGTTTGTTGGGGGTTTAGGATGTGCTGTTCTGGCTCAGTGCAGCCTCAGGAGGGCGACTTCTATTTCTGAAATGCACATACCTTTGGGTAGAATCAGATGATTTAGGGGAGCCAGAGTCAATGCAGATGGAAACCTGAGTCAGGCTGCCACAAAACAGAGATGGAATGTTTTTGTTTTGGAGAAGGAGCTGTGCTTGGTGGCGCTGGGTGAGCCAAGTGCCCACTCAGGCTGGATGTAGGGAGTGGACCCAAAGAAATAGAAGCTGCGGAAGTCGCGGAAGTCACGATGGTCTTGCCCACCAGAGCTTATCATCTTCCCAGACCATTGAGGTGCTCCAAGGAGGAGGACAGGGTGACGATGTAGACTGAGCACCTCTGTCCTTTCTGTCCTTACTGATGGGGCAGAAATCAGGGAAGGCTTTCCAGAGGAGGTGCTGTCGGAGCTGGCACCCCTCCTGCAATGGTGGAAGGACATCTCGTGGAATATTTGGATCGCTGTGTGTTGGGGAGAGAGTGATCAGGGTGGTGGGGTAGCTTGTGCATTGGTAAGCCAGTGGTGGTTCGTTTTGGACACCACGTTTTAGGAAGAGGGGGCCAAGCTGGACAGTGGAGATGGTGCTGTCCTAGGGTTTATTCAGGGGGAGAGATGCTGCAGGGGTGAGGGTGTGAGAGTGATTGGAAGGACCAGCACCACGAGGCAGGACAAGGAGCAGGTGTCAAGCAGGGCCCATCCCTGTGTCCCCACTCTAATGAGCAGTGGGAGTGGCAGCATGGGGAGTGCCTGGGACCCTGGCTAGCAGATAGGAAGAAGTGGGTTCCCATCCTGCCTCCACTGCTTAGAAGCTGTGTGACCCTGGGCAAGTCACTCCCCCCACATCTATGTGAGAGGGGTTGAACTGGGTACCTGGTAAGGTCTGCTGGACCTCCAAATCCACGCTCTGACAAATAACTGTCCAAAATGAATCCAGGGTAAGCTTTTGGAAGGGTGGGAGATTAAGGCAAGAAGCTTCCTGGAGAAAATGTTGTTCACACAGAATTTTGGAGGCAGCAGGGGATTCTCCCAGAGGTCAGGAGGAGGAGGGAAGGATTTCCACGTATGGGGGACAGTCAAGGCAAAGGTGCAGAGGTAGGAAATGGAGGGCCACTGACTAAACCTCAGAGGCCTAGAAGGAGGGGGACAAAGAATAAGGTGGGAAAGGTGACGAAGGCTCCAGATACTGAGCAGAGGAGCTGGGGGTGCCATCCCAAAGTGGGAGGGGGTCCAAGCAGGGCCCGGAGAGCAGGTCTGCTGAGGGTGAGTAAGATACCTCTGAGTCTGAGGGCAGCCTCGAGTGCAGGAATGGTGCCAGTGGATTAGCAAGGGCTGGATTGAAAAGGGCATCACAGGGGCAGCTAGGTGGCACAGTGGATAGGGCACCGGTCCTGAAGTCAGGAGGACCCGAGTTCAAATCCAGCTCAGACCAAACACTTGACACTTAACTAACTGTGTGATCCTGGGCAAGTCACTTAACGCCAATTGCCATAAAAAAAAAAAAAAAAAAAGAAAGAAGAGGGTGTCACCATCTTCATTTGGCATTTACGTGGAACAATTTTTACCACCTAGGATCACTGTCAGTTATGTCCAGTTCTCATTCATCCTCCGGAGGCCCTGGGGGCAAGGCTGAATCGTTGGCTCTTTCTTCCAGTTGAGCGTGCAGCCTGGAGCCTCCTGGTGGAGGTGGAGCTAGGACCCAGGATTCTTGTCCTGGTGAGAACCTCCCAGGCTGGCACTCATCAGGCCTTGAGGCCTTGGCTGCTGGTAACGTCCTTGCTCCCTTTTTACCATTACGTTTCCACCTGTGCTGTAAAGTCAGCTCAGGTGGCACCTCCTCTAGAAAACCTTCCCTGAGCTTTGCCCCATCAGTAATTTCCCTTCCTCTCAGACCTCACGTGCACCTCATATTCTAACTCCTCCTCGTACTTACAAAATGTTGGCTATTGGAGGAAGAGCATGGAGAATCTGCTGCGCACCCCCCCCACACATACACTCTGGTTAGGTGCTGGGTCTGGGGCCATCCCTCCAGGGCAGTGGTTAAACTGAGTGAGTGATGGAGGCAGCAGGAGCTTCTAGAGCCCTTTGCAGATTAAGGGGAGATGAGCTAGGCTGGATCGTTGGTGAGGTCTCCTCCAGCTGTGATCCGGGCTCTAGAAGGATTATTGCCAAAGTAGGAGAAAAGAAAGACAAATCCCAAGAAAAACCTTTAGAAGGGGACGTTCAGCTCAGCGTCAGTGAAGAAGGTTTCCATGTTGCTAGCACCTCGGGCAAGGAGGGAAGAGGCCGCGGCACGGAGCGTGGCCACCACCACGATGTCGCCCACATTGGCCCACTGCCCACCCACTCAGGAAGGGCCATTCGCGGTTGTACCTAGTGTGTGCAGGGATCTGTTGGTGAATAGATAACTGGCGCTTGCCCACTGACCTGAGGGGTGGGACTGAGATGATGTCTGAGAAGCCCCTTGAGGCCCCCTGGAGAGAGGTGGGGAACAGCACTGTTGTTTAATCGCCTAATGAAGACCTGCCCTTTGTTTCTCACCGAGTGACCTGGGCACTGCTGCTGGTGGGCTGCCCTGGCCTGGCTGTGGGAAGATGCTACGTCCTAGGTGGCCTCTACGAAGGTTGTGTCTTTGCAGGCTGGGGTTCACCTAGACCCCAGGAATCTAGAAAGAGCCCCGGAGCTGGTGGTTGTCCAGCTACTCTCATGCAGGAGCTCTACTTAGCTGGCTCGGGCCAGTAGCGTGGCCCAGTGGAAAGAGCTCTGGGGCCAGGCTCTGCCTCCGACCTAAGACGTTCACGTCTCCATCAGCAAAAGGGAGGAAGCATGGTTATTTGGACGCCTCGATGATCTCAAGTTAGAACTATTGTAAATATAGTGAATATCTTGCAGGGTTTTGTTTCCCCTCCCTCCCAAAGGCAACCAGGACCACATGGATAGCTGGTGACTCAGATGCTCCCTTTCCTATTGGTGTAGAACCGTCGTAAGACTAAAGGTCACAGATGTGGCGGTGTGTCTGATAAAGGCAGGAGAAGTTGGCAGCCCAGCTTTTCCCTGAGGCCATTGGCAGGCCCACTATCATGTAAAGTCTTATGTGTAAAGGAAGGCTCAGTGACCGGACGGGCTGGGTGGGTTGGGAAGAGCTTTCAGAGCAAAGCAGAAGCATTTGCGTTTAGTCCAGCAGCCGTAGGGAGCCAGGTAGTTAAGGAGGAGGAGAGAGCTGCAGGGACCCATGGAATCAAAGGCCATTTTGTGTTCAGTCAATGTGAGATGTGAGGACAGACAAGGATCTGAACCCAGGGGGTCGCTGTGTGAACACAGAGAAGAGGCGGGGATGCATGCAGCGTGGTTCATGGAGGCAGAAAGGGCGAGGCCTGGGATCCAACCGATAACACAGGAAAGCTGTCGGTGGGCCCTGCGGAGGATTCCTGGAGGACGAGGATTGTGGACGGTACCATCGCGTTGGCCCGATGGCATCCACTGGTGGAGGCGGAAACGCGGCTTCCTCCCCTTGAGAGGACCACACCCTTCTGTAGACACAGGGCAGGCGCTCACAGAGGTCAGAAGAAGAAATACAAGGACACGCTCAAGGTCTCTCTGAAGAGCTGGAATCGATGGTGAGACGGGCGTGCCGGCATCAGAGAAGGTGCCGCGCTCTGTGAGGGAAGCAGCATTGAAATAGCTCAGAAGAAATATGAGATGCGCAGATGTAGACAATCCACCCCAAATGTGCACATGGATTGTGGCCCTGCCCTGTGGCAGAGCCTCCGGGAAGCTCCGTCGGACACACTGTGCCCTGACCCCGATGTAGCGATGTCACTTTGGTTGTCTTTGAGAATGAAGGACAACAACCAGCCAACTGACCAGGTGTTTTTCAGCTCACTCTGGATTTCCCGCCCTGGTGAGACATTGCTCTTGGGGGTGCGTGGAACCTACTCCCCGACATGTTCAGTTCTGCTGTAATGCGACCCATGTACTCCCAGAACTCACCACACGATGCGAGATGGAGAAGCAGCGCAGAGAGTATGGGGAAAATGAGGTGACATGGTAAAAAAAAAAAGATGAAAATGAATAAAAGAGGTGGCACAGTTTTATACCGGTTACAAGGTAGGATACGGATAAATGCCTCCATAGGTATTGGCCCACCAGAGGCCTCCGGGCTCCCACCCGGCCCCAGGACCTTTGACCGGAAGGAAATGCCTGCAGGGTTGCATCTGGGTGGGCACTTAGTGTGAAGTGGCGCCATTTTCTACATTCTCACTTTCTCTGGGAAGAAATCATATAGAAGCAATTCCCATGATACTCAGAGCATCCCCTAATACCTGAGTTACATCAAGAAAAATTTGTGCTGTGGAAGACCTGGCAGTGGCTGGTGGTAACTCCCGTCCCAACAGAAATCAATGTTTCCCACACTCTTTCCCGCCCCGGCCTTGGCCTCGGAAGGGGGGGGCCAGCTGGCAATGCGCACCCTGCTCAGCTGCGTCGGGGAGGCTCTGTGGGGCTGCTTCTGAGAAGCCTGGGGCTCCAAGCGGTCCGGTCTGCAGCCATTCAGAGCCGGTGCTGGAAAGAAACCCAGGTTCAAACTGTTACCTTTCCCTGCACCAGATGGCTTCAGTGACCAGAGAGCTCAGCCGTAGGATGCTGAGAAGTGAGGAACCCCCCACCCCATCCCATCCCCTGCTGCTTTCCCTCAAGTGCTTCATGATTCCCAGGAGAGAGAGAGTGCGCATCTTGTTTTGGAGACCCCCTTTCCATGTCTAAAGAGAGTTGTTTTGTTTCCTCTTCTCCAGGGGGTCCATGCGTATTGGGAAGGATTTTATTCTCTTCACCAAGAAGGACGATACCATGACCTGCCTCTTCCTGTCTCGCACGTTTCATGAGGAAGAAGGTATTGATGAGGTAGGCACGCTTCTGTTTGGCTTTGGGCAGTTCCTTCAGACGCAGCTGGCTTGGTCTGCCTGGCTGGGTTCTCTGACACGCAGACCCTGAGCTGGCCCTGCCTGTGGGTTGGGGAGATATGGCCCCTCTAGGAGTCTGCCTGGGTGGAGCGCTTCAGAGAGAGGATGCTGCCCAGCACATGGCAGTCACTGGAAGAGGGTCTCTGTTTATGGCCAGGGGAGTTGTCTGCTTCCCAGAGCGTCCATCCTCTGGCATCCCAGAAAGCCTGCCTGTGGGGCGAGTTGGTACAGTGGGCCAGGAAGTGACTTCTCTCGTGTGGACAGGGCAGGGGGCCAGCCCACAGGAGGAGGCCTTGAGCAGCACTGGTGTTTCTGACGTTTTCAGAATGCATAGCTTTCAGCTCTTGTGTCCCCGTGGCCGGTCCGCCAAATCACAAGGGTGTGACAGAGCCTGGCCTCAGCTTTGCGCCTTGGATTCTTAGCTTCTGTAGCTGCCTCAGGGCAGGTGGTGAGTTCCATGTCACTGAAGGGCTTCAGAGCTGTGGAGGCAGGGATGTGGCAGAGGAGACACTCTATCAGCCTGGGTCAGCCTGGAGGGTCTCTGTAACTTCGTCTTGGTTTGCTGCCTCCCAGACTCGGGGCCGGAAGAAGGGAGCTGGGTGATCCCCTGGCTAGCTGCCCCTTCCCCGGCGTGTCCCACAGTTGTGGTCGGAAGCATCATTGCAGCCTCACACCTTCATGCCTGATGTCAGTAGAGCCCAGGGCTTGGAGCCAGAAACGGGGAGAGGGAGCACATTCCACAGGAGAATGTTGCAATGAAAATATGTGGTAAGAGAAAGCGAGGCACAGAGTTCTGACAGTGATCAGTTCATTAGCCTGGCTTTGGATCCAACACCCCTCGGTCGTCAAGGGCATGGGTGGCAGGCAGAGCCTCTCTCGTCTAGCATTCACATGGCAGCTTTGCAGGTGGGCTTCGCTCCTGACTGCCTGGTGCTGCTTCCATTGGTTCCTCACCAGGTGGGCAAACAGCCTGGCACCGGCTTGACTCGCGTCCCCCTGTGGCTTACAGATTGGAAGTCTTGTGGGCCTTAAAAAACAGGGAAGTGAAACTCTTGGAAATTGTGCCAGTAGGGCCTGTACAGTCAAGTGGGAATTGGTTCCACAAATATTGATTCTGATTAGACAGAATTCTCAATCAGTAATTTATCCTGTAATATCAGTTTTCAAATTCCACAATAGGCAAGTGAAGCTACAGGTGTAAGGGAGCTCAGATGCACCGAATGAGGGGCTGACCAGTCTGTAGTGGGTTGATCATCATGCATAATAAATGGAAAATGATACAAAGTCAAGTGGCGTTCAGTCCTGCCGGGCCGGTCCGGGCACTGACCTCAGGCTGGGGGACCTGGGTTTGTCTGTCGCTCAAAAATGGGGATGCTCGTGCTAGCGTGGGATGCTGCCTCCTGAGAGGGTTACGGGGGAATGCGTGCCTGTAGAAGGGGGTGGGGCTTCCTTGTCAGTATGCACCATGCCCAGGTCCATTTCCGTGCCACACTCCCCCTCCATCCCCCAGCTCTGCCCCCAGCCTAGACCCTGTAAGTGTTAAAGGGCTGTGTCACTTTCCTCCCGTGTCCAGGTGATTGTACCGCTGCCCACCTGGAGTGCCTGTACTCAGGAGCCCATTACAGAAAACATGGACAAGTTTTCCACTGAGATTGAACTCATCTATAAGTATTCACCCTTCAAATCGGAGAAGCAAGTAATGGATCAATTTAAGAAGATCTCTGGGGAGTCGGGTAAGTGGCCATCAGCCCCGAGAAGGACAGTGGCACCTGTGCCACCGGGGGAGGCGGGGGAGTGCTGGCCCACATGCTTTGTCCCTGCCCTCATGCTGGGAAGAGATGAAGATTAGCCGCGTGGGGATAATAGATCACGAGGGTGGTGTGGGCTTGGCGCACGCCCCGAGTTCCCAGCGGCATGAATGACATTCGGCATCTGCTCGTAGGAACACTGGTTATCATCTTTAACCTCAAACTCACGGAAAATGGCGAACCTGAGCTGGACGTTGTGTCGGACCCCCGCGACATCCAGATGGCTGAAACGTCCCCTGAGGGCACGTGAGTAGTGCGGGTTTGGGGCAGGTGGCACTAGCTGGGCACAGGCACTCAGGCCTGGCAGCATCCCCTACTGGCACAGCCCTGCAGAGAGGCCTCTTCCCCTCCCGTTTCTATAGGATGTGAATACGTTCTTGTTGGGTCCTCACCGTAGTCCCTATAGGGGAGGTCACCAGAAAAGGAGGATTCCCCACACTTTATAGAGGAGGAAGCCGTTATTCAGAGAGGCCCAGAAACATGCCTGCAGCCATGCGGCTCACACAGCCCACCAGGTTCCTCTGAGTGCAGACCCAGGCCCTCTGCCCTCGGCTCAGGGCCCCTTCTAGAGCTGCAGACTCTCCCTTAGGGCTCTAGGCCAAGCCTTGCATTTGACAGGAAGATGGGGGGGGGGAGATGACTTACCCAGAAGCCCATGTCAGTCGGTCAGTGGGAGAGCCAGGATCAGAATCCACTGCCCGCCTCGGGGGATGGGGGGACACTAATGGGCTTGAGGAGAGAGCGAGGAGAGGGCCCTGATCCCCGCAGGAAGCCCGAGCGCCGCTCCTTCCGTGCCTATGCTGCCGTCCTCTACATCGACCCCAGGATGAGGATCTTCATCCACGGCCACAAAGTGCAGACGAAGCGACTTTCCTGCTGCTTGTATAAGCCCAGGTAGGCAGGCCGCGGTGACAGGCGGGTCCTAACCAGGGGCACAGGGCGGGAGGTTTGTGAGGCCTACTGCCAGAGGGACGCTGGAGTGGTGGAGTCCATTTAAAGGGGCCTGGAGCCCGTGAAACTAAGGTGTCCTGCCACCAAATGTTGATGTGGGAACGAGCCCAATGCCATTATTTTAGAGGAGGAAGTCCTGCCATGCCCCAGGTCTCCAGGTCACAGGTAGCCAAGCTAGGCTCCATCTTTTAGCTTCTGTCCCAGGCTGGGCTCTCTCTGCTAGGCCCCCCTCCCCATCCTGTGAAAGGGAAGAGGTGGCTAGAGCCTGGGCATTGCCAGGAGCTCCTGCAGCTGGACAGGTGAGCCCGCCAGTTGGGGAGGCTGTACCCCAGCAATCTGGGAAGCTCTTAAGCTGGATCCTTGAGGGCAGAGCTGCTGGGGGCACCATGACAGAAAGCCGACAGCAGGCCCCTGGCTCTGTTCATGGGAGTTCTTTGTGTCCTGGGATCTCTGGCCCAGTGGGTGCCCAGAGGGGCAGAGTAAGCAGAAGGAAGGTGGGAGCCAGAGCCTTGCCCCATGAGGAGGCGGGAGTTGGGGGGGGGGGCTGGCTGTCACCTTTCTTGGGGTGACACCTTTTCCTGGAAGCCCCAGCTCATCTTTCCACAGGATGTACAAGTATACCTCCAACCGCTTCAAGACAAGGGCTGAACAGGAGGTGAAGAAGGCGGAGCACGTGGCACGCATAGGTAACTGTGGCCCAACCTTCTCTGTGCATCCTCCTAAGGGCCTGGCCCTTCTCATCTGGCCTCCAGGCCTAACTCTGCCCTTCCCTCCTTTAGTTTCTGCTCTGGGGGACAAGCCCAGGCCTGCCATTCTAAAGACAGAAGCTTGTCCTGGGAGAGGACGCTGCCCTCTTGCCCTAGATTCTCTCCCAAGTGATTGGGGCTTTGAGATCTCTTGGTCCCAGAGCCTCTCCATTCCTGCCTTGCAGGCTGAGCAGCCTTCACCTTCTGTTGAGGGGAAGAGATGGGCTGTAGCTTTGTCACACACCCCCCCCCCCCCAACATGCACACTGTATGGAGGAGGGAATGGGGGCCCCAGGTCAGATGGGGATAAGTGGCAGAGCCTCCAGCTTCCTCCTCAGTCTGCTGTAGAACCTGGGCCTGGCCCCTCGCCCCAGGTATCCTGACCCTTGGATTGGGGAGCTAGAATTCACAGATGCCCCTTCCCTCTGCCCCACTCACTGAGGGCTGCCCTCCCCATTCCTTCCCACATCCTTCATTGTGGCATTGTTTGGATTTCAGCGGAAGACAAGGCTCGAGAGGCTGAGAACAAAGCCCGAGCATTGGAGCTGAGACTCGGGGGAGATCTCACCCGGGAATCCAGGGTAAGCTGCCAGGGCTGCTGGTGGCGTCTGGGCCAGGATAGCCCACCGTCCATCCTTGTTATGCACAGGCACGGGACAGCCCACTGTCTGTCCTCACCATGCATGGGCACGGTAATGGCCCGCCATCCATCCTCATCACATGAGTACAGGACAACCCTCTGTCCTCGTCACATACACTAGCATGTTGGGGGTGACTGGTTCTGAGGAACATGAGCACAGATTGGAGAATTCCTGATTTAGAGTGAGGGGAGTGGCCTCCATCGTCCAGCCTGTATTGGACACGTCTAGTGCTGAGGGCGGCCCCTGGGGACAGTGGATTCAAATTTGGCTCTTTGAAACTCTGTCCAAAGCGCTGGGGTCGAGCAGAATTGCTCTCCCTTCCCTATGAAAGCCATTCAGGTGCTTGAAGGCAGTGGTTTGAGTGACATCAAAGTTCCCCCCCCCCCCCAATTTTCTCAGTGATTTATTGATCTCCTGTACCAGGCTAAGTGTTGGGGCTACAAAACAAAGCCTTGTGTTAGGGAGCTCCCAGGCTCCATATCCTCTTCTCCTTCCACTAAATGTCCAGGGCGGGAGTGGAAGGGAAAGCAGCAAGGGGGCTTTGGAGTCCCTAAAATGGGGTAGCCCCAGCTGAGCTGAAGCTCTTCCCCCTGAAAGCCAATGGCTCTCAATGATGAGGGAGCTCCGTGCAGGTGTAGTCTCAACATCTGCACGAATTAGGACTTTGGGGAAGCAGATCTCGTGGCCGGGTGTGGGCGATGTTTTTGTTTTTCTGTTATTGCACCATTGACCCGCCATCCCCTGCCTTCCCATCTCTTTAGGTGGCCTTGCGGCAGGTCCAGGGCACAGCCATTAACCTGCGCCGGGAAGCCGACATTAAGAAGCGCATCAAAGAGGCCAAACAGCGGTGAGTGCATGGGCTGGGCCCAGGGAAGACGACCTCCTCTCAGCTGAGCCTCAGGCACGTCCTGATGCCTCCCAAGGCCCATCATTCTGCTGCCAGCCTCCCCTGGGCATTGGGCACTCACATGGGCATCACTTTGTGGATTAGATGAGAAAATGCTTTCTGCCTGTGACTGAGGGGGCCTGGGCTCATGAAGGTGAGGGCCCTGCCTGCCCATGGGCCCCAGGCCCCCAGGTGCCTAGAGGGGTTGAAGAGTAGTATAGGGGTTACTGTCTTGGTGCTTAAGTTCAGTTTAAATGCTGTCTGGGCAGCACACTCCTGATGGCGTGTTAGCTCACATTTCTATATCCTTTTAAGGTTTTATTACAAAGTGTTTCACAGACATGCTCATCAGATTCTGAACAGTCCTGGGAGGCAGGTGATCTTGGTATCCCCTTTTTACAGATTAGGAAACTGAGGCTGAAAGGTTAGAGACCTTGCCCAAGGTCACAGAGCAGGGAAGTGGCCAAGGAAGGATCCAGCCTTCTGTCCTCTCTGCCAGGAGCTCAAACAGAATTACTTCTGCTGCCACACGATTGGTCACATACTGTGTGAATGTGGTCATCTGAGCTGCCCAGGTCTCAAAGACTCTGAGCTTTGCATTGGCCCCCAGGGACATAGGTGTTCTAGCCACGGCTGCTGACCAGGCTCCGCCAGGGCCTCGGTCAGTGCATGGCGAGGCCGTGCTGCCAGAATCATGGCTTCCTGAATCCTGGGAGTGTAACGGAAAGATCTGGGGCTTCAGCTGGAAGAATCCCAGCAGCGGGTGACCTGGCCTGTCTTCCTGGCTTTAGTTCGTGAGAGTTGAGAGAGACTTGTGACAGCCCTACTGTGTCTTCAGATTCCACTCTGGCCACGTGTTTCTGAGCCATTTAATAGACTATAAGCTCTCTGAGGGCAGGGGTTGGTTTTTGTTCCTGTACTCATATCCCTACGTTGAGTGCTGCTGGCTTGGCACATACTAAGCACAAGATGAATGTAAACTTGACTGTGTATATCCAAACAGTGTCCAGGCCACTTGGGTTCAACAGTCTCAATGTTTGTAAAAAGGTTTTGCCTCCCCCTGCCCCCGACCCACCCCTGCATCCTGAGCACAGCCTTCCACCATTGCCAGAAGCTCTAGAATGGTGCCTGTGATCCCTGAGGCTGTGCAGTCCCTCAGAAATGGGCCTTCTGGTTTTCTAAACAGCCCCAAGGTAAGGCCAGCTGCCTGCTTGAATTGATACCGTCATCTCCCTCCAGGGCCCTCAAGGAACCCAAGGAGCTTAACTTTGTCTTTGGGGTGAACATCGAGCAGCGGGATCTGGACGGCATGTTCATATACAATTGTAGTCGCCTGATTAAGATGTATGAGAAGGTGGGCCCGCAGCTTGAGGGAGGCATGTAAGTATCTTCCAAGAGCCAGCTAGAGGCAGCCTCTCTTGGGGACCTGAGGGTCCATGGATGATGGGCATCTTCCTTTCTCCCTTCCAGGGCCTGTGGTGGGGTCGTTGGAGTGGTGGACGTGCCCTATCTGGTTCTGGAGCCCACCCACAACAAGCAGGACTTTGCTGATGCCAAGGAGTACCGGCATCTGCTGAAAGCTATGGGCGAGCACCTGGCCCAGTACTGGAAGGATGTGGCCATCGGTAAGGAGGCAACAGCGGGGAGTGGCGCAGGGGCTGAGGGCAGGCCCCTTCCCTGCTGCTCACAGTGGCACTCTGAATGGTTTGCTTTCCAGCCCAGCGGGGAATCATCAAGTTCTGGGATGAGTTTGGCTACCTCTCGGCCAACTGGAGCCAGCCCCCATCCAGTGAGCTTCGCTACAAGCGGAGGAGGGCCATGGAGATTCCCACCACGATCCAGTGCGGTGAGTACACGCCCGAGCGCTCAGCCGTAGGTCAGTGGCAGGAGCTGAGGTTTTGGTTTCAGTTAGAGTTTAAGAACTGTTATGGATGCTTATTTTTATATCAGTCATTTCTACATATGTCCCCTCCCCCACCACGAACCCTCCGGTGAGCCCTCTCCCTTAACAGTCAGACAAAACCAGGTAACAGAGTAACTGTCTGGCGGGATGTGGTCTCTCCCCACGCCCCTCTCCCTTTCCCAGGGCCAACATTGGGAGAACTCTCCCTGAGGCCTAGGCTTTTCCCTCTGGCCTCTTCACTTGGGATGCCTAAATCAGTGACGGCTTAGCCTGGAGATCATTGAAGCATAGGCCAGGGTGGGTGTGACTTCCTGTTTTCTTCCTTCCACCTGTGTGGGGGTGTGGCCTCTGCTGAGACTCAGTATCCAGAAGTGATTCAGTCTGTCCAGAACAAAGTGGGGAGGGACCATCCTTGCTTCCTGCATGGAGACCCTCTGGCAGCCTTGCCTTTCTCAGGGCCTGTGAGGCCCGGGACACAAGCAGATTACTGCTCACCAGAACAGGGAACTTCCCAGCAGTTGGGGCTGTCCCAGGGCGGAGCGAGCTGCCCCACTGGGGAAGGAGCTCTCCATCCTGATAGGTCTTTAGGCAGCTGGGAGGTCTTTAGGAGGAAGAACATTGGCTTTGGCATCAGATGACTCGTGTTTGAGTCCCATCTCTTACACTTAGAAATTGGACAAGTCACTTCTCTTGTCAAGGCATCCATTTCCTCATCTGTAAAATGAGGATAATATTTGTGTGGCGCAGCTCATAGAATAGTAATGAGGAGAGTGCTTTGGAAAGCTCTCAGAGAGGTTTGGTAAGTGTAGTGTGGATGTGAGGGGAGGGGGGCTGTTACATGTGGGATGCCTGCTTCAGGCAGAGGCTGGACCAGAACCCCTGCCATCCCTGAGGGTCGAGAACTCTGGCTGCTCAGGAAGAGGTCAGACCTAGGAGAACACTGTCTCCTTGAGGACAGGGAGCAGTTGTTTCCCTTGGTGTCCCCAGTGCTTGGCACACATGGGTGGGTGTTGCTAACTGCTGCAGTCTGTGCTCTGTGTGGCAGATTTGTGTCTGAAGTGGCGGACACTGCCCTTCCAGCTGAGTTCTGTGGAGAGGGACTATCCAGACACATGGGTGTGCACAATGAACCCTGATGCTGAACAGGACAGGTGAGGGGGCTTGCTGGGCACCAGGGTGAGGGAGGAAGCTCCTGGAGGGCAGGGCCCCCAGCAGGGACCTGCACGTTCACAAAATAGACTTTGACAGGTTTCTTGTTGGGAGAGGAAGGGACGAGGAAGCCCAAGGTGGTGCCCCGGGTATGTTGGTCTGGGGTCTGGGCCTCCCAGGGTGCATCCTCAGCGGCACCTGTTTGTCTGGGGGCGCAGCTGCAACGCGTCTGAGCAGAAGCAAAAGGTTCCCCTGGGGACCCTGAGGAAGGACTTGAAGACCCAGGAGGAGAAGCAGAAGCAGCTGACGGAGAAGATCCGGCAACAGCAGGAGAAACTGGAAGCCCTGCAGGTGGGTGGGTGCCAGGCTACCCTCGGCCCCTCAGAGCATGGGCTGGACAGCTGCCAGGAGCCGGCACGGTCGAGCCCGAGCCCTGTTGTTGGCTGGGCACGGGGCCCCAGAGGCAGGACTCCAGCCTGGGACCTGTGCTGGATTCCCTAATGTGGCATTCGAGGCTTTGGCCAGGCTTGGCCCTGAGCGTTCCTGGGGGGGGCCGGGCTCCCTCTCAGCTCTGTTGCTCTCCCTTCTCAGAATTCCCCTTCCCACATGCCTTGTTCTGGGCACACTGCCCACCTCACCGTTCCCCAAGCTCAGCCCTCCACCTCATCCCTTCCTCATAGAGTTCCAATAGGAGAAGTCCTGGCCCCTGCCCCATTGGTGCTGTCTCCCTCCTCCAGTCATGCTTGTGCCAATAGAGCATCCCCCAGGTAGACCCTCAGTAAACGAGGGCAGGGGCTGCACAGCAGAGGGCCTGGCACCACAGAGATGTTTCTACAGGATGAATGAATGAATGAATGAATGCATGGGTGGGGCAAAGGGGGGACAGTACAGTGAATGATCTGATCTGGATTCGAATCCATCCTCTCACATTCCCACCCTGTGACCTTGGGCAAAGCCCCCTGACTTGTTGGGATTTGAGTGGCTCATCATCATCGCCTTCATCCCTCCTCCCTTTCCATCATAACTCGAGGTCCTCCACTTTCCTCCTCTCTAAACGTGTCCCCCGATGTCAGGTAAACCTCCTGGCCTTGTCTCTCTTGTCTGGCTTCTCGTGGATGGGGACTCAGGCGACTTGGGGGGCTGGGGGTGAGCAACCGTTTGATTGGATCGAGGGGCACACACAAACTTGAGTAATTGTCCTCCCTGCAGAAAACGATCCCGATCCGATCTCCAGCTGACCTGAAGAAGTTACCCCTGGAAGTGAGCGGCAGGCCTGCCGTGGAGGTAAGTGTGGCCAGGGCCCCCCCAAGCTCGGGGGCTTCTCCCCACACCCTCGTGGAGGGGAGGCCAGATTGACAGGGCTGACAGCCTTCACTTCCCAGACCTTTCAGGTAACAGTTCTCACCCTCTCCTATCTCTTCCAGGAGTCCCACACCATCCGTCGACTTCCACGCCCTAGGTCCCCCCCACTGCCAGCTGTGATTAAGAATGCTCCAAGCCGACCCCCACCCCCACCTCCCCTGCCCCCACCAATTCCCAGACCAGTCTTCCAGGCCAGAAGGGGCCCTCTGTCCATCTCCCCGAGACCAGCCCAGGAGGAAGCCAGCACATCCAGGATGTCCCACCCAGCTCTCTCTCCCCGGAAGCCCAGCGGCACCATTGTCAAACCGGCTCACAGAATGGTCTCCGTGGTGAGGTCCCCCACATCGCTTGTGCTGAATTCCAGGCCCCCCCGTGACGTGCCCATCCCCAAACCGGTGAAGACCCCAGTGCTCAAGAAGCCAGACCCGCCCAGTAAACCTCAGGTGATACTTTGCTTCTGCACCGCTCACAGCCCACCCACAGCATCCTTGTCTTCCCCAGCATCTGCAGGGGTCTGGGGCCTGCCCTGGGAGCAGCTGCCCTGCCCTGCTTACTCTAGACTTTGGGCCACCTGGGGCTGCCTTCCGGGTAAGGTAAACGGGTGTGTATATCACCCGGGCACGGCCCGAGGATCCAAACCCCTGTCTTCTGACTCAGGCCAGCACCGCGTCCACCTGAGTCTGTCTCTGGAGCGGTTGTGCTCAGTAGAGTAGTGTTATCCCTGTGAGGCACACAGATACCTAAATCTGCCCGGGCTCTTTGAACCTCACTCCCAAGTAGAGAATGGGAGAGTCAGGGGACGCAGGCCAGCAGAGAATGGACCAGGGAGGACTCCTGCTCTGCCTGTCCCCTCAGGCGAAAGGAGAGGCCTATTCGTGTAGATGCGGAAGGAAGAGGCTCCCTTCTGGGCAGAGCAGGAGCAGGGCCAGGCCAGGCCAGGGCTCCCTTCTCTTTGCCAAGTCAGGGCTGCCCGCGATGTGCAACGGAGGCCCAGAGGAGGAAAAGGACTGAGCGCCCCGGGGCCCAGGGAGGGGTTTCGCCTGCTTCACACTGGAAGAGCAGGCACAGCTCTGCTCAAACAAAGACAGAGGTCTGCTTAGACCCCTGGCTCCTCATGTCTTTGGGCTCCCCCCCTCTTGCTCCCTTGGCGTTCTCCGAGCTGATGCCGCCAGCCCCTGTGGTCCCCCTGCCCCTCCCACGTCTTCCAGTTGAGGCCCAACTTGTGTAGCGTTCTCAGAGCGCTCACTTGGAGGACTCCCGTCAGAAGCGATCTCTAACCTGAGGCTTCCTGGGGTCCCTTTGGCCCCTCTGTTAAGGGGCAGGGACGCGGGGCAGAGCATCTTGTGAGACCCAGAGGTGTCAGGAGCCAAGGCGGGTCCTGGCAGCCAGCCAGGCAGCCGGCCGTGGGTCCTTCTGAAGAGCCCCCGGAGCGCGAGCCCCACCCGTCTCCCCCGGCCACCTTTGTGACTGCTGCTCCTTCTCTCTGCAGATTGTCAGTGCCCGGAAGAGGAGCTTTCCTCAGATGGAGGACGAGGCTGAAGATGATGTGGACAGGAGGAGGGAGAAGCCCAAGCGGGGCAAGGTCCTCGTGGTGAAAGATGAGAAGAAGGAGCCCGGTGAGGTCGTTGTAGAGGTGAGCACCGCCCCCTCCCCCGCGAGAGACCAGGCCAGAAGACCCCTCGAGGGCATCTCCTTGCACCTGCGATAGCAGCTGGCCCAGGGTGAGCTCCGGCACTCCAGGCGTGCAGGTGTCCCCTTCACCTGCACAGATTACAATCAAGCAAACCACGGTTAAGCACCTGTTGTATGCTGGGCACTGTGCTAAGGAAGACAGCCCCTGGCCTTGAGGAGCCTATGTTCTGTTGGGTATTTACTGCCTACTCACGGAGTAGTTTTGGAGAGGAGGGTGCTAACAGCTAAAAAGCAGCCTGGCGACACTCTGGGTTCAGATGCTGCCTTAGGCACTTAATAACTGGGTGAGCACTGGCAGTTCCTTTCACAACACACACAGACACACACACACACGTGTACACACACACATACACACACACACACACACACACACACACACACACACACACACACACTCTTTAGCTTCAGTTTCTTCCTTTGTAAAATGAAGGGCTTGGATTCCCGGCCTTGAAGGTCCTTCCAGCCCTAGATAATCTGCTGGTCCTATGACCTTGAGGCACTGAGCAAGCCTTGTGTAGGAGGCAATTCTCAAAGGTCCTTGAGCTCCAGAGCCAGCGTCCTGGAGCCTCACAGAGGCAGGTTGGCGCTTGCAAGGCCTGTGGCACATTTGCCCAAGGGATACTGCCAGGCCTGTGACTGTGGCCTTTCCAGCTCTGCTAGAGTCTGTGTTCTGCCCAAGCTTACCTCTCAATGTGAGTGGATGCTTGCCGACGTAGTGGGCAGTCCGGTGTGTCCAGCATCTATTGAGCATCTGTCCCTGCATGCCAGGTACACGGGGATGTACCATGGAGGCCGAGAAGGATTCAGTTTGAGGTAGGGGAGAGCCCTAGTGGATCCCCTCAAAGGGGTGGGAAAAGCCCGGTTTGGAGAGGAGGAAGCAGGGCCATAAGGTGGAGCCAGATGGTGAGGAGCGCCAGGTGCCAGGTGGAAGAGGCCTGTTGAGTCCTCGAGGCCACAGGGAGGCTCTGGAGCAGTGGTCTAGGAGGGGATGGGTTCCTGATCTAGGCCAGCGGGATGATCGGAGAGAAGGGGAGGTGTGTAGAATGTGGCCAGTAGGACCAGTGAGACTTGGCCACTGAGCGGCCTGAGGGAATGACGGTGGGAGTGTGAGGCCTCGAGGAGGACGGAGCCCCACACCCCGGGGACCTCGGCAGAAAGAGACGAGCCTTGGGCTCTGCGTTGGGTCTGAAATGCTCTCCACACTCACATCGCTGCCTGATGCTCCTAAAGCACCCTGCCCTGAGACCAGACCCCCAGACTCAACAAAGTCGATTGCCATCATGCCAGCTCCCTCCCATCCTTCATCATTCTTCAGATCCGTTCTCTGCCCCGCTGCCCACTCCTCCAGCATCCCACTGCAGATCTCCCATCCTTCCCTTGGTGCCCCTTGGAATAGCTGCTCCAAAGGTAGCCAACTTGAATCCGTCCCAGACCCTTTCCTTCCCCAGGCCGAAGCCTGGCTCCCTCCTTCCCGATGACTGTCCCTGGCCGCCTTGTCTCTCAGCGGCAGCAGCACTTTGACTCATATTCCCCTTTGCTCTGGTTCCTTGCTTGTGGTCACTTCGGGCTCCCTCTTCTCCTCCTCTGAGCTGACCTCAAGCCACCTCTGCCGCCCAGTCAGAATTCCGGGGGCTGCCACCTGCCGACCTCCAGGACGCTCCCCTTCTTTCCTCCATGAGTTCAGTGCCTGGCTCCCACAATTTCTCTTCTCCCCATCTCCTGCCCTTGGCCTAGACAGCACACAGGAGGAAGCTGAAAAGGGAGGGAAGGGGGTGGTTAGGGCCATTCCTCCGGCATCCGTACACTTTGGCTTTTCTTCAGCCTCTGTTTGGCTCCCAGCTGCTCCCCTACTGCCCGCACATGTGCCTTGTCTCCCTGTCCCCCCAAACCCGCCCCTGCTCTGTCTCCTCTGCTCTCGTCCCACATCTTTCCCGCCTCCTCAGGACAGGCTGCCACGGTGATGCCACAGTGACCCAAGGGCCTTTTCTCCATCCTCATCCTCCTCCACCTCTCTGCAGCCTTGGGCACTGCTGATCCCCCTCCCCCGCTCAGGTCTTATGACTCTGCCTTCTCCTTCTCCTCTGCCCCCTTGCCATGCTCGTGGAGGCTCTGTCCTCTTCTTCCTCTGTACCATTGAGGGTGGTGAGTGCATCAGCAGCTCTGTCTGATGGTTCTTGGATTCACTTGCCAACCCTGGCCCCTCTCTGGACTGCCTTCCATCTCCGGCCACCAGCAGCTTAGACGCCGCACGTCCCAACCTGGAGACATGCTCTTTCCCCCAAACCCTGCCTCCTCCTTCCTGCCAAGGGCCCACCATCCTCCTGGTCACTCGGGCTCACCTCCTCCCACTCTCTTGCCCCCACAGTCCGTTCGTGGCCTGGGCCTGTGGCTTAGGCTCTTGTGGAGGTGACGTGGCGGGCGGGGAAGGATGGGCTGAGGTGGCGGGGCCGGGAGCCGGCCGCTCGTCCTCCCGGAATGCCTCTGGGTGACCCGGGGTTTTGTGTCTGTCTGCAGCTATCAGACAGTGCCAGTGAAGAAGACCTGGCAGAACTCAAAAGAGCCCAGAAAGGTGAGAAGTGAGAAATTGCCCAGCCCGGCGGGGAGAGGAGGGTGGGGCGCGGGACCAGGAGTGTGGGCTTCCAGCGTCGGAGCCGCGTCCCATAGCGGCAGCCAATGAGTTTTGTTCCCAGGCGGTTTCTGGTGATGGCCTGACCTCAGAGTTGTTTTTAGCAGCTTGGCCGGTGTGAGGCCTCTCCTCCCAGCACCCCTGGGACCGAGGAGGGAGCGGGCTCCAGCCAGGCCACGAGGCGGGGCGGGAACGCAAAACCCCATAAGCATCGTGTCTCCCAGACAAAGGGCTGCACGTGGAGGTGCGCGTGAACAAGGAGTGGTACACGGGCCGCGTGACTGCCGTGGAGGTCAGCAAGCACGTGGTGCGCTGGAAGGTGAAGTTTGATTACGTGCCCACCGATACCACACCGAGAGACCGCTGGTAAGCCGCCGGCCTGGGCGGGGGCGGTGGGGGGGAGGCCCGGGGGCACCGGGCCAGAGCCAGGCTGAGCTGGCTCTCCCTCGTCTGCAGGGTAGAGAAAGGCAGCGACGACGTGCGGCTGATGAAGCCCCCCTCGCCCGAGTATCAGAGCCCCGACACACAGCAGCAGGAGGACGAAGACGTGATCGCCATCGAGCCTTCAACCTCTGACTGCATCCGCATCGAGCCGGACACCACGGCGACCAGCAGCGGCAACGAGAGCGTGGACCTGCTGGTCCAGACCCTTCGGTGCGCGTCCGTCTCTGCTCCACCTCTTGGCGGCCGCGGTGTGTCCCCCACAGGCTCCTTCTGACCCTCGTCTCCGCTCTGTTCCTTCTCTTTGTAGGAATTGTCTCCGGTATTTCCTGCCTCCCAACTTCCCCATCTCAAAGAAGGAGCTGAGTTCGATGAGCCCGGATGAACTGATGGCCTTTCCCCTGGTGAGTCAAGGGCGCCTGCAGTTTGTTTTCTCGTCCCCTAGCCCACCAGCCGCCGGCGACTGCCCCCACCTGCTGTCAGGCAGGTCATCTGTTGCGGGGGATGAGGAAAGCTGAGATGACCCTTGGGCCCGGGCAGGCCACTGAGGGGGCGCTCGGGCCGAGGACCAGCCGGCCAGACTTCTTGTCCCAGCTGGAATTCCATGGCCAATTTAAGACACCCAAGAGTTCTGTGATGGTGAAGCGTGGGACTGGGGCATAGAGCGAGAGCTACAAGGGTCTCAGAAGGGGGCGACTCAGGCGCTAGCGGCCGCCTTCACCCGAGCCACAGGCGAGGCCCAGCCCCTCCAGCATGAGGTCAGAGCATCAGCCAGAGGCCGTGCGATGCTGAGGGCGTCGCAGAGAGGGGAAGATGCTAAAGGTCCGCCCTGGTTAGAAATGAAGAGGGGCAGCGAGGTGGTGCAGTGGGTAGAGCACCAGCCCTGGAGTCAGGAGGACCTGAGGTGGGTAGAGCACCAGCCCTGGAGTCAGGAGGACCTGAGTTCAAATCTGGCCTCAGACACAAAACACTCACTAGCTGTGTGAGTCTGGGCAAGTCACTTAATCCCATTGCCTAGCAGAAAAAGAAAAAGAAAAAAAAAGTGAAGAGAGGTGACTGAGGGAACACCACTGGCTGCCAGCCTGTGGGCCCGCCCGTGTCCATGTGTCACACAGGTCCGGGTGACCCTCGGTAAGGGAGCAGGCAATCTCTCGCTGCGCCAGCGGTGGTCTGCTCATCGTTAACCCTGTTAGCTGCCTATGAGATGCAGAAGATCCCAGGGTGCCGGTGGGCATTGGCCCTTTGGCTCCATGGAATGAGAGGCTGCCTTAGAGACTCTTCCCTGCCAGGGGATGCCTGCCCCCAGACCCTGACCCCTCAGGCTTCGTCAACCTTTGGGTAAAGGACACAGCACAGCTGGGGGCTGGCCCAAGGAGGTCACCGCCAGGATGGACTAGAGCCGGCCCAGAGCCGGGTCATTCCCATGGAGCCTTCTGTACCCACTCTGCATCTGGACAGACCTGAAGGCGGGCGCGTGTCTGCTGTCCCCCAGAGCTGTCCTCGGAGGGGAATGGAGGACGTCCTCCGTCAGCTGCAGACCTGCAGCCAGGAGGGCCTCTGAGGCCTGAGACCCAGAGCAGGGAAGGTGCCAGCCTGCACCAGCATTTACACATTTAAGGTTTACAGAGCGCTCTGCAAATTTGGTCACATTTCATCCTCACAACAGCTTTGGGAGGCAGGTGTTTTCATGCTCATTTTACGAATGAGGGAACTGAGGCAAACAAAGGTGAAGTGACTCACCCAGGGCCACGTAGCAAGGGTACAAGGCTGGATTTGAACTCGGTCTTCTTGACTCCGGGCCCAGGGGTCTCTCCACCTCGAGCCCAAGTCCTCTGTACCACACTGCCCCAATGGGTCTCTCTTGGGCCACTGACGTCCTATAAAATCTGCTTGGGTTTAGGACAGGTCAGGTTGACCGGGGAAGGAGGTCTTTTCCCTCGGTCCTTGTCCTGTGTTCGGAATGGCCAGCCCTTCAGACTCAGACCTGACCCCTGGCCCAGGCTGTGCTCGCCCTGACTTGGCCTTCCTCTTCCTCCTCCTCTCCAGAAGGAGTATTTCAAACAGTATGAGGTGGGTCTGCAGAATCTGTGCAACTCATACCAGACCCGCGCCGACGCCCGCGCCAAGGCCTCCGAGGAGAACCTGCGTGCGTCGGAGAGGAAGCTGCGGGAAACCGAGGAAAAGCTGCAGAAGCTGAGGACGAACATTGTGGCGCTGCTCCAGAAAGTACAAGAGGTGAGCAGGGCCTCCTCCGAGGGGTCTCTGGGCGACCTTGTCTGAGGCCCTTCTTCACACGCACAGAGACATAGTCCCATATTTATGGGGAGAGCCTGGCCCCGATCATCTCCAGGAGCAACAGGGAGGGTCACTTAGCATTCAGTAATCATCTATGAGGTGCGCCCTGCTGGGTCCAGTGTGCCCAGCATTGGTCTCTGCTGGGAGAGGCAACATGCAAATTTATAAGTAAATGCAGAACGTATACAAAATATACCCAGCGTTGTGGGTGGGAGGCAGCAGTGGCTGGGGGTCAATGAGCCAGGGATTGATTCCAAGAGTTGGAGGGGGACAATTCTAGGCACAGGGGACAGCCTAGGCAAAGATGTGGAGGCTGGAGGTGAGACACCTGAGGACCTGCCAGGAGGCCAGTGTGAGTGGGCCCTAAGCACCTGGCCAGGGATCGCCTGTGCGGGATCCCCTGTGCGGGATCCCCTCTGGCTGGGCATCCAGACTGTTGGAGATGATCCTTGTTATCCCAGGCGAAGGCAGGTGGCTCCATGTCCCCAGATGCCCTTCCCTCCTGGGTCTCAGGATGGGTGGGTGGTCAGCTGCGGGGTGGGGGCAGGGAGGGGTCGGCTCTCGAGAGGCCCTGGGGCGTCCGCCCACTCAGCCTGGCTCTCACACACCCTTTTAGGACATCGACATCAACACCGATGACGAGCTGGACGCCTACATTGAGGACCTGATCACCAAGGGAGACTGAGGAGGGTGCCAGCAGGGCGGCCTGGAGGTGGGCACTGTGGCCAGGGCAGTGCCTGGCCTGGCACAGAGGCGCCCTGACCCCCAGGACACTTATGTTGTCACAAGGGAACCCTTGAAATCTTGTAGCTCTTCAGATCCCCTCCCTTCATTTATAAATATTTATTTTTAATGAAACGAGAGCCCATGAGGTGATGCTTTTTCATTTACGGCCACAGGAGGCCCTTCTGCCTGGGGTTGGTCCTGCTGGAGCCCCCTCCTCTCCCCCTCCCTCTCCCCTTCCCTGCTCATGCACGCGGGGGGCGGCAGCATCCTCAGCTCTTGGGGAGGAAGGCTCCAAAGGAGAGGGTTGGGGCCTTCTGGGACTGATACTCGGCGGCATCAGTAATTGAGGAAGTGATGAGGGAGAGGCAAGTGCACGCTGGGCATCCTGGCGGGTCCTCTGCCCTCAGGAGAGCGGGATCCAGGAGGATGCCATTCCCTGACCTGCTGAAAATAAAAGGTTTCAACTCTGTGCCCGCCATCTTTGTTTCTTCCTTGGCTGGCTTGAGGACGCTTCCCACCACGTTATACCAGGCTGTAACCTGGGCTCAAACCCCTGGGCACCCTTAGGTCAGAACCTTCCCCCCAGGCCTCAGTTTCTTCTTCTGAAAAAGGAAGACTGTGGGACTCAGTTTCCAAGGATCCTCCTGGCGTGGGCCTAATCTCTCCAAATCGGAACTTGTCACTGACTGCACGGGTGCAGATGACACCTGGCAGCCAAATCCTTACCTGAGTCGGCTCCTGTTTTCTGTCCTGGATTGATGAGCATGAGCTCACATTTGGAATGTGTAGTCTATCTCTAAGCTGTATCTGCAGATGTGCGTATATATTCATGTGTATGTGTGGTGAGGGTGATCTGCACCTGGGACTTCACTGGCTCAGGGCATCGAGAGGTGACGGGTGCGCTGGGGGGCACAGCCAGGACCAGGCGGGCCTCTGCAGAGGTGATGTTCCTGGAGTCAGAAAGACCCAAGTTCAAGTCTGGCCACGGACACCAGTTTGGGGCCCTGGGCAATCAATTTTACCGCTGCCTCCCTCAGTTTTTCTCTTCTGTAAAATGGGGTGATGATAGCCCCTCCCTCTAGGTGGTTGTGAGGATCAAATGAGATAATCCATGTGGAGTGCTCGGGAAGCCTTAACGCACGCTGCGTGTGCTCGCTGCTATTACTATCGTTATTATCATTGTTACTGTTGTCATTGAAGACCTCAAGAGGCCGAGGGATTTCTTCATCCCGGTGGTGTCAGAGACAGATTTGAACCCAGCTCTCTGTCCTCCCAAGTCTGGTGCTGTGTCCTCTACACCAGCGGTGTCCAACTCATGGAAACAGGGACCGCTGAGCTACACATGGATCCCTGTGGGCCGTACGTCGACTTTATTTCAAAATGTAGTATCTCTGTTTAATTGTCTTTTTATCTGTTATGTTCAGTATTTCCCAATTACATTTTGATCTGGTTCCTGCGTGTTGTGGACCAGCCTCTCTGATCTTCCCTCGCTGGCCATTCCAGCCAGTGCAGGCGTCTCCAAGCTCTAGTCTCTCTCCTTTTCTCCTTTCTCTCCTAGGCCCCCCAGCCTATTCTGGGTACTGGGCCTTCACGTCGAGGCTGAGGGAGCCCACATGCCAAAGACCAGCGGAGTGGGCCTCTGCCGGTGGCCATCAGCTGGGGCCCGGCAGCTTCTCTAGCCTCGAGTCCCCATGCTTCAGAATGCCGTCGAGAAGACTGGCCAGAAAATATTCCAGGGCCCAGCCAAGTCCAACCGTGGCCTAATTTGGCGTCTGTTCTTCTGTCTTCCAACCCACCCCGGGAACCCTGGAAGCCTCAGGATTTGTGCAAGTCTCTCGGGGCCCAAGACAGGGCTCTGGTCATAGAAGAATCATGGTGTGGTCACCATGTCATCCCCTTGCCCTCAAGACCAGGGACTTTTTGGAAAGATTTCACCTAATAACTGGGTAGGTGTTGATGGCATCAGATCCTCTTGTCCCACCTGGTAACAGCTTAAACTCGATTTGGAAACTAAGCATTTCTTTGAAAGCATTCACTGTTCTTAAGAACAGTAATAAAACTGGAACCTGGACCCAGATGGCAGGAAGCCCCAGAGCCATGGGCGCCATTGATCCTAGGGCTACCCCTTCTCTCCTGGGGCAGTTGCTGCCTCCCACTGACCAGGAGCAGCTGGGTGGCACCGTGTGTAGAGTGCTGGAGTCAGGAAAACCCGAGTTCAAATCAGGTCTCAGACACTAGCTGTGTGACTTCACCCTGTTTGCCTCAGTTTCCTCATCTGTAAAATGGGCTGGAGAAGGAAATGGCAAACCACTTCAGTATCTCTGCCAAGAAAACCCCATAATGGCATCACCAAGAATCACCAAACAACAAAACTGGCAGGGAAATGGGCTCAGCTGCCATGGATCTGAAGGGCGCCCCTACCCCAACCCCCAGAGGCCTGCGCCTGGGATGATCTTTGCCACCACCAAGATTCCCATTCTGAGACCCTGACCCCGCTCTCGCCTATCACTGTGGGCTCCTTGTGGAGGTGGTCGTGGGGCTACACTGCTGGGGAAAGCCCCTTTAAAAACAGAACCCGGGATGTTTTCATGACCTACTATACCCCGTAGTCGGCAAAGACAGACTTACTCGCCTTACTTGGTTCCTGTGCGTCGGGTCTAGCTGCCGCTGCCGCTGCTGCGTTTTCTACCTGGCCCTGTCCTCGTGACCACCCCCATTATGCTCACTGCCCCTTGGGAGGTGTGGGGCCAGGGGAGGAGAGCCTGGATTGGGAGTACCTGAGAGGAATGCCGTGGGTGGAGTTGAACTAGAGTTCCACAAAGCTTGTGGTAATAAAGTGTCTCCACGGCCTTGTGGAGAGGTGGATTAAATGATAAGGTAGTCAGGTGGGTTCAGAAGTGGTCCGGTGGCCAAACTCGGTGAATATTGTGGATTATGCTTCGTCATCTCCAGGGAGGCCCTCACATGGTTCACATTTTTATCAATGACTCAGATAAAGTCGTAGATGGCATTGTGCTCATCGGGTTTCCAGATGACACCAAGCAGGAAGCCGTAGTTAACACAATGGATGATAGAATCCAGATCCCAAAGATGGTGACACAGTGAATAGAGCTTTTGGAAGGACCCAAGAAGAACGTAGCTCAGATCCATCCTCAGACTCTTATCAGCTGGGTGACCTGTGCAAGTCACTCCCTCAACCTCAGTTTCCTCATCTTTAAAATGGGGTAGTAGCCCCTGCCTTGTAAGGTGGTTGTGAAGATCAAAAGAGTTATTTGTAAAGGACGATGTAAATGCTAACCATAATTATATATAATGATGTGATTTCAGCAGGCTACCATTGAAACGAATCTCAAGAAATTCAGTGGGGATAAATGAAACAGGCTTATATTTAGGTCCAAAAAAATCACCTCTACAAACATAAGGTGAGGGACCCATGGAGATACAGCAGTTGTTCCGAAGAAGATCTGGGGGTTTAAGTGGACCTTGAGTGAACTCAGTAGGAGTCATCAGGGTGATGGGCTGCCTTGAGGGGCACACATAGTTTCCAACATTTTGAAGTGTTTGATTCTGGGTGCTGGTTTAAGGATGTTGGCCAGCGAGGGAGCATCCGTAGGAAGGCAGCCAGGATAGTGAAGGGTCACTCACTTCATATGAGGGTCCATGAAGAACTGAGCATGTTTAGCCAGGAGGAGTCTTGGAGGGAGGGTCATGATCACTGTCCTGCTTGGCCCTAGAGGGCAGCCATGAGCAAAGAGGCTGACTTGGGTGTCATGTTAGGAAATCTCACCTGACCAGAGCTTTCCCAAAGTTGGGTGGGCTGCTCACGAGGTGATGGGCTCCCCCTCCTTGGAGGTCTTCCAATAAAGGATGACCTCTCAATTTTAGTGGGCGCTCTTGGACTGGACTCAGTCCCTGGGGTCTTCCAAATCTCAAATTCTCTGAGAGAGCGTGAGATTTATCTGCAATTAATTTGCAAGGCTTTGGCCAAACCCCTTTCCCTTCTGGGCCTGTTTTCTCCTCTGTAAAATGAAGAAGTTGGACTCATTGCACCGTAAGGTTCCTTCAGGCTGCAGACCGGCAGTCCTGTGAAAGGGTGCCCTCCCAAGACCTCACACTCCCCACGTCATCGCTGTGACCGGTCTCTGGTTCCATCCATGGCCCCCGAGCATGTGCTGACCCTTCAGCTCTAACTAGGTTGGGTTTTTCAACCAGACAGCATGTAGTTTTCAAGCCTCGAAGGTGCAAGGATGTTAACTGGGACCTATGCCGTGAAAAAGCTTGACACTTAAGAGTGGTTCCCAAGTGGACGACGGTGTGGGTTTGCAGGAGGGACCTCAGGCGGCATCTCCTCCAGGAAATGAAGGTCCAGAAAGGGGAAGAGACTTGGCCAAGGTCACACGTGAGCTAAGCGGTAGAACTGGGGTGAAGTTCTCTTTCACGCAGCCGGCTGGAAGTTGGGGTGTTGGGAAGATGACTCGGCCTGCATGGCCTGGGGGGGGGGTCCCTTCCCATTTTGAGACTCCGATGACTCCGAGCTCCCCATCCCTGGGACTCTTCAAGCAAAGCTTGGGTAACTGGTTGGAGAAATTATAGACGGGATGCGTGTGGATGCTAGGGGAAGGGAGGTTGGACTAGGGGGTAGCACCTAGTGTGTGCGCGCACACTCTCACGGAGTTCTGTTGTAACCCAGTGTTACCACTAGGTGGCGCTCCCGCACTGGCTCAGCCACTGGCGGAGTCCGTGAATGAGTTGTGTCTGTGGGCTTTGGGAAGAACCAGGATTACCTTTCTTTAACAGCAGCTCTTCCTTTAGGGTAAATGCAGAATCTTTATTACTTGCAGAAATAAGGCACAAGGATATTTGCGTGTATCCCGTGCCGTGTGGTTGAGCTGCAGAGGGTGGATAGGGTTGACCTAAGTTTTTTTGTTTAGCAAAGCTTCCTATAATTATCTCATACTATTCTTGTGAAGATGGAGTAGCTGGGTGTTAAGTTTGGTTCCCAGAATCTAGCTCAGCCAACTCCAAGGGCCATTATTAAGAGGTCAACAAGCCAAGTGAAGTCAATAAGCATTTATTAAGTACCTACTATGTGTCAGGCACCAGGGATACAAAAAAAAAAAGACAAAAACCCACTTTCTGCCTTCAGGAGCTCACTATCTAATGGGAAAGACAACGTACAATCAACTATAGTCAAACAAGATACATACAAGATAAGTTGGAGATAATCTCAGAAGGAAGGCGCTAGAATAAAGGAGGATCGGGAAAGGTCTCTTGTAGAAGGTAGGACCTTAGCTGGGACTTAAAAAAAGGAAGCCATGAGAGTCAAGAGGTGGAAATGAGAAAGGAAAGCATGCTAGGCATGGGGGCAGGGATCGCCACTGAAAATGTCCAAGGCCAGGAGATGCAAAGAGGACGACATTACTAGATCAGGGAGTACATGGGGGGTGGGGTGGAAGGTAGGAAGGGCTTTTTATCCCACTCTCCACCCTTTTCGGCCGTCCTCAAACCCTTCTTGGTTCCCCTCCCCACCCTCTCAGCTGAAGACCTTGCCTCAAATTCTACTGAGGAAGAGGGGAGAAGAAAGAGCTCAGTTTTCGTATGCCTTCTGCCGCTCTCTGCTTTGCCCCTTACATGATGAGGTGGCCTTCCTGTTTACCAAGGCTGACCCCTTTACCTGCTCCAGTGACCTCTTCCATCCCGTCTCCTCCAACAGATTGCTCCCTCTGTCACCTCCACTCTCACTTATTTTCACTGTCTCCTCCTCTGCTTCCTACCAACATGCTCATGTCTCCTCATTCTGAAAAAGTCCTCACTTAACCTTCTATCCCCAGGATTGTTCTATATTGTCTCTTGCCTTTTATGGCTAAACTTGAACTAAACTCAAAAAGGCGTCTACACCAGGGGCCTCCACTTTCTTCTCACTTTTTTTTTTTTATTTAGGCAATTGGGGTTAAGTGACTTGCCCAGGATCATATAGCTGGTGTCAAGTGTTTGGTCTGAGGCTGGATTTGAACTCAGGTCCTCCCGACTTCAGGGCCAGTGCTCTATCTACTGCACCACCTAGCTGCCCCTTCACTCTTCTTACAATCTGGCTTTCAACCTTATCATTCCAACAGCACTGCTCCCTCCAAAGTTACCAGTGATCTCTTTGCTGCCAAATCCAGCAGCCTTTTCTCCATCCTCCTCCTTGGTCTCTGCAGCCTGTGACACTGTTGATCATTGATGCTTGACACCCCCCCTCTCCTACTTCTCCTCCTCCCTCTGACTGCTGCTCGGTCCCCTTTGCTGGATTCTCCTCCAGATCACCTCCTCTAACCAGGTGTCCCTCAGGGCTCTGTCCTGGGCCCTCTTCTCCCTCTACTGCTTTACCTGGTGATCTCAGAAGCTCCCGTGAATTTAATTACCATCTATGCTGATGATTCTCCCATCTACCTTTCCTGCTGTAGCCTCT